GTCTTGATATTCTGTTTTCCATTTCATTCATCCTATTGGTGAGGCTTTCTTCTGTCATTTCTAATTGGCTTACTGAGTGTTTCACTTCTTCCTTCATTTCAGCCTGACTATTCTTCAATATTTCTCTTTTCTGCATCACCCTGCTCCTTGTCTAGATGTTCACGTGCAAAGTATTCATTCTCTGTGCTCCTGTCTGCCTCCCTTCCATACTATACAGATAAAAAGGCCAAAATAAAACATCAAAAAATCAATCAAAGCCAGCCATGGTGGCACATGCATTTATTCCCAGCACTTGGGAGGCAGAGGCAGGCAGATCTCTGTGACTTCAAAGCTAGTCTCTTCCAGGCCAGCTGGGGCTACAGAGAGACCCTGTCTCAAAAACACCCCACCCCTAGAAAAAGAATCAATCAAAATTCCCCACTCTGACAATCAGCACTGAACTGCTTGGAGCCAGTGACTTGTGATGCCCTATACAAACAATTACAGTCTAACTCCTAAAGAGCCCTGGTGTCTCACCTTAAATGGCTGGTCTTAGGACAGGCAAATGGTGTTATAAAATGTATTGCCTGACAAGAGACAGAGCTGCCCACCTCTTAACTATTGTAATACAACCCCACACAGATGGCCCAGGAGGCAAAGCCAGATGATTTCTCTAAATTGCTATCAATAGGGACCATTCCTCCTCAGGGGTACAACTCTCTCTCTCTCTCTCTCTCTCTCTCTCTCTCTCTCTCCCTCCCTCCCTCCCTCCCTCCCTCAGAATTTCCCCCACTGTATTTCTGTTCTCGTGAGCTGGAAGGCAGATGCCTCAGCCTTCTTTGCTGGTCTGCCCCTTTCGCCCTGGCTACTGGGTTTGTGGATTCAGTTTGCCCTCCTGACTGCAGCACTGGATGTGGGTAGTGGAGGGAGATCTCTTTATTAAAACTTATACACTAGTTATAGTCTGGTGAATACTTTTACATGTATACACACCATACCTTAAGCTCGTGGTTCCTGGTATAAGATGGATGTCTTTAAAAAATAACTAAGTACATCATTCATAGTGGTTCAGGATGCACCCTAATCACTCCATTGTAACTTATACTTTCATAATGCCCCTATCTCCAAGTGTGAACCCAGTCTGACATTTTGCACGTGACCCATCCTCAACTGCAGACTTTAGAAGGCGCTCCCACAGAATCCTATTTCAGCCGAGATCATAAATACTGTGAAGGGCAGATAAACAAAAGTGGAAGCCAAATATTGTACTTATTGAAACTGCCAGGGGGACTTTGGATCTTGAAAGAGAAACCTAATTATCTTTTACCTTCTGAGGAATTTCTAAACCAGCTGCAGAAACTCCCAGAGCCTGAAGAAGGACACTCGCCAGCTTCCCAGGACTCAAGGTAAGACTTCTGGGAATTCCTTCACAGGCTCGTGACAGAACCTGGGCCTCATCAGAAGGGACCCAAGACCTGGGCAGGCCTGGGAAGGTCTTCTGGGAGCTGCAGGAATCAGCTCCCCTGTAGACTAGTGCATGTGGGAGCTCCCAGCAGTGATGCAGTGCACATCCACCTGGTAGGCAGCTGGAGAATCAGAAAAGGTTCCTGAAACTAATTCCCTAGCTATATAAGCACAGCAATCCCAGGACAGAAGGCTGGCCACCCTGGACAGCATGCTCTGGCTGGCCCCTCCCTGAGTACAACCGTGGATACACTGTGGTCAAATTTGTTTAAGAATCTCAATCTGTAATTAATGGGAAGGCTTCTGGCAGGACCATCTCTTTTGTTCTGGACACTTCCTAGCAGTTCCTCAGGAGCCCTGTCCTAGGGCTTGGCTGTTTGTGCCATTTGCCAGGTCTCTGACTGTACTGTACTGTTCTTCACACACTGAAGAGGCACAGAAGCCTGTTCTAAATATAAGGAAGACAGAGCTAAATCATTCTTCTCGTGGCATAGAGCAGAGTGCAGCATTCAGCGCAGCATTCCTTTAGAAACATGGAGGCAGGCAGACCTTCAGTCCCATAATCTGATTCTCACTTTCAAGCTGGGGTTGCAGTTCAGTTGGTAGAGTGTTTGCTTAGCATGCACTAAGCCCTGGGCTTGTTCCGCATAAATCAGGCATGGTGGTAGATACCTGTAATCCCAACACTTGGGAGGTCCAGACAGGACGATCAGAAATTCAAGGTCATCCTAAACTACATAGGGAGCTAGAGGCTAGCCTGGGCTACCTGAAAACCCTGTCTCAAAAAACCTCCACTTCAGGATTTTCTAGCTGTGTGACTATGGTCAGTACTTAGCTAACCTCTCTGCCCCTGGTCTACAGAATAGTCACAGTAGCAATTGCTGGAGGAATTGCCTCATATCAGCAAGGCTGTGAGTCATAAACACCTGTGGTCACTGCAGTTGGCCTTGTCAGCCATCTCCCTAGAAAGCTTAATGTTCCTTGCAGAAGACAAATGCTGTTCAAGGTCTAAAGAAAAGTGGCACAAACTGTTTGCACAGTCTGTTCCAATAGCTGAACATTCTGCCATGTAAATATCACCCAGCAGACATCACATTCCTTTATAATTAAAACATAGTGGCATGAAAATAAGCCTGGGTCTCAGTTGACTCCTATGAACTGTGCGATCACGGGCATGTTATCCTCCTCTGAGCCTCGGTCCCCAAACTTAGCAGAAATGTGGGCAGCATCAAGGAGAATCGCTTGGCTGTCAGCTGACAAAGACAGGTGTGTCTCTTGTTTGTTTTTCTTGGCACTGGGAATTGGATCTAGGGCCTCCTGGGTGCTGAGCAGGTCCTCTACATCTGAGCTCTATTCACCTGGCCTTTTTTATTTTCAATCTTCAGAGAGTTTCATTGAGTTGCTCAAGTTGGCCTTGAAATTGCTTTGTAGCCTAAGTAAGGCTTGAACTTGCAATCCTTCTGTCTCAGACTCCTGAGTAGCTGGTATCACAGGCCTGTAACACCACATCCTGTTCAACAGGTTTGTTGTTGTTGTTTTAGTTTTGAGACAGCCTCACGTATGTCAGACTAGCCTCAAACTCACTATGTAACAGAGGATAACTTTTCAATTCTCCTGCCTCCACCTCCCAAGTGCTGCGATTATAGGCGTGGGCCACTACACCCAGCTTATTTGGTGCTGGGGATCAAACTCAGAGTTTTGTGTGTGTTGGGCAAACACTCTATCCACCCAGCTACAGCCCAGCCCTGTCATATATTTTTCATAAGGAAAAGGAGAGTTGCAAAAGACCTTGGAGATAAGCTTGAAGTTTAAATAAGGAAAAAGCTCAGAATTTTCTGAAGCTCAGCGTAGCCAATATTTTTAACTGTTAGGGTTCAAGAAGAAGGAAGTGAAGCTACCACGGAGAAGTGTGGATCTTTCTGTAGTGCTCTAGACCTCCACTTTGCGAGCATCGGAGTCACCTAGGAAGCAAGTTAGACAAATTCAGTGCATCTGGAGAGTGAACAGAGATTTTGCCAAGTGACACATCCTGGCCTACGGGCCACACTGTAAGATCTACTAGTCTAAATACTGGAAATTAAGTAGCTTAAAGTCCATCTGGAAAATGGTCCAAGAATGGCCCTTCTGTTATGGGTGGTCACTACCCTTCAAAAGGTGCTAACAGGTGCTAACAGCAGGTGCTGGGTCCTGGGCTGGAAGCTTAGTCACTGACCCTTTCTTCAGAAGCCACTGCCAGCATCAACCTTCCACAGATAGGAAAGTGAAAGCTCACAAATAGGAAAGTGACAGCTCACACAGCTTACTCTGCAAGTCATAAACACAGACCTGAAGCTGTCTGATCTCTGGACCCTGGTGCTGCCTTGTCTTGGAATTCCTTTCCTGGATAATTAATAGTGAGTAGTGCCAGCCTATCAACCAGCACTACAGGGGCTGGGACAGTGGAACACTGGAGTGGATTTATTTTGTATTTGTCATCTAGAGAAGCCAGAAAGCTTCCTACTTTGCTGGAATCCAATCCACAGTATATTATGCAGTAGAATTTGATTTCCTACCAGCAGGGAGTATACAATTTAGATGATAAGCTAAGCAGCACAGAAAATTAGCAAGTAACTTTTTCTCTCAACTGAATGGGGTGTATTTCAACCTATGTCTTCAGCATGCTGAGGAGGCTGCCCTAGCAGTCGAAACATAGATGAATGGAAATCAACAAAGTGTCCACATGGTTCTAATCCCAGCACCAACATGTGCCCCTCCCACATAGCAAGTACACCCAATGATGCTATGAAAATCTGATATTTGTCTCCCTGAAATCAACTAATGTTGAAAAGTCATGCACAGACTAGCTCAACTAAACCCATAAACTAGTTAACAGTTGTATAATTTTCGAGGGCAAAAAATAACTGAGGCTAATGAATCAGGGATCAAAAGCGCATCAAAGACCAGTGTGTTGCTTCCTCTCTTCAGTCAGAGGAGGAAGCAGGATGGTAGGCAGCCTGTGCCCACTCAACAAACTCAAGGCAGGCTGGTGGCAATACCAACTGCAGGAGACTAAACGAAGCCACCTCCCAAACTGGACACAAAGGATCTGAAATGAGTTACCATCAAGAGACCTAGTCTTACAAATCCATATTCATATAGAGAAATAGTATATACCCAGAACACAGACCCAAAGGAAAGAAACTTACCTTATGTAGTATCATGGTCAGTGGTTTGTGGGGATTTTTAATATTTTATTTATTATTTTTATTTTATGTGTATGAGTGTATGAGTGTATTGCCTGCACGTATGTCAGTGCACCTGTGTTGTGCAATGCCACAGAGGTCAGAAGAAGGCCTCAGATTCCCCTGGAACTGAAGTTAAGCCTCCATGTGGGTGCCAGGAATCAAATCTGGGTCCTCTGCAAGAGCAGTTAGTGCTCTTAACCACTGAGCCATCTCTTCCACCCCAGTGGTTTGTATTTTAATGAAGACAAAGCTAAACATAAGAATGAGTAATGCGAATAATTGATTTTTATAAGAGGAAATTGCATCTTCTATGTTTTGCAGCACCTGTACACCATGATCAAACAGGACAGTGGAACCAATTATATGTCTGCAGCTACTGTCCCAGGTAATGTCCACATCATTCAGCCTACACATGCTGTGGTCTCCAGAAGCCAGGAGAAACCACTGGGGGTGACCCCCTACCCAGCAACAGTACTCCAGTGCAATACAGAGACAGCAAACTTACACAACCCTCACATAGCGATCCAGAGTCCAGCCGGAGTGACAGACATGCAGAGTCAGCCCACTGGGCTGCAGTATCCAGTAGGAATGGCCAGTGTGCAGACCCCACCCGGAGTGATCCAATACTCACCAGGAGCAACAAACGTCCAGATCCTGTCTGGAAACCCTCAGAATCCTCTGAACACTGTGCCTGGACCAACACAGACCTCGGGCCAGACCCAGTGGAACATGTCATTTGTATCTTTTCCTGAATTCAATCCCAGGAAATTCATAAATGAAGAGGTCAGAACATTAGGGGTGAGTGTAATATCTTCTCTCCAACTTCCTAAACCCATCTCTATAGCGCTTAGAAGGATTTGGAGGACAAAGGAGGGCAACAGCTTCTAAAGGCCAGATTGAGGACAACCCCACAAATGGCAGTCCTTCCAGATCTCCCCCAACTCCCTAATCTGTTCCACAGTGTTTGGGTAAGGCTGTAAAGGGCTCCTTCTTTGGAGAGGTTGTTTGATCAGTCACCCCTTTCTTACCTATAAGGAGCAAGAGTCAGCATCAGTTTCACCAGAAAAAACATTGACCCAGTTAAGCAGCTCAGGCTTCAAGGTCGGCCAGATTTTCTGGGTGGTCTCAGGCACATCTCTTCCCTTCTCAGAGCCTCAATTGCCTCCTCTCTGTCTGATCAAGAGAAGATCTAGTAAACTCTTACAAATTCTTTCTAACTTTTAGGTTACTCATTTCCTCTTCAACCCAGGATATTCCTGTCCCTTTCCTGCCTCCTCCAGTTTTATCTGGCACCTTGAAAAGGTCAACTTGATTCTCTTTCTGAAGGAGAAATGAAATCAGTTCTGGGTCCCACTAGATGCCCAGCCAACTCCTAGTATGACTGACTCATAACAAGTTTTCCATCTCTACTCACTCACTCATTCAACTTGGAGACGAGGAGCGACCTGTGGGGACCTGGAGATTCAGAGATGACCAAGACACAGTCTTTGAAGGCAATTCATGGCAATTATTGTAATCTATACCTGCTGGAAATTGCCACAAGACATAACTCACAGCTTTGGTGCCCAAAGATTGCAACTGGCCCAGCCTCCTTGAAAATTTGCAAACCTCTAGGAAGCAAGAGGATGAAGGCAAGTTTAGGATGGGGACAGACTCACATTGTTAGAGTATGTTCCCCAAAGGGTTCCTGTTTTGGAAGCTTTTGTCCCAGGATGGCAATGTTGAAAGGTGATATGAAGCCTTTAAGAGGTAGGGCTGAGTGGTAGGTATTTAGGTCACTGGGCTCAAAAGAGATGGATGTAGTTCTTACAGAACCCCTTGTTAGTTCTCATGAGAGCAAGATTGGCCCCTCCCCTCCCCAGTCCCTCTGGTTTTCTGTCTCACTACATAACCACTCCCTCTTGCATGTGCGCCCACCATGATGCCATTGACTATGTAGTGAAACAGCCAGGGGAGGCCTCATCAGAGCCAGCATTATGCAGCTTGAACTCTGACAGTTCCAAAACCGTGAGCTAAATAAGCCCCTCATCTTTGCAAATTACTAACCTTGGGTAGTTCGTGATAGCAGAAAATGGGTTATTCATACCCCAACCCATCCCCCCTTGTCTGTCCTTCAGAACCAGATAGGTAGATCAAGCCAAGAACAGGGTATCATTCACATGCCAAACTTATCAAAGCCAAATCTTAGACTAAATCCTATAAATCTAAATGAGGAATGCAAAGGCTGATCATAAGCATCAAGGGAAATTAAAAATGTATGTGGAAAGGTAAAGATGGTCTGTGACATTACACAGGAATTGGTAAGCCTATGTTATGCTTTCTGTTCTCATTATTAATTAATACTGGTGAAATGCTTGTTAACTTTGCTCTATTCCTGAGAACCCATTTGCCCTCTGCTCTCTCCACAGGCTATCCAGATCCTCATTGGCCTGTTCCATATTTTCTCTGCAATCAACCCTATACTGTATGAAACTTCTTCTGTGTTAGGGATCTCAGGGTACCCGATCTGGGGAGGACTATCTGTGAGTACAATGCCATGTGGCTTCTTTTCTGGGTCTTCAGAGTGGAACAGGGAGAAAGTAGAGGGAAAGGGGACCACTGAACCCCACTTCTAGGCATACAAACCTCACAGCTCAGAGTCAGTCACTAACTGCAGGTACAGCTAAGTGTTGAAGATTCCACCTCCATCCCTACCCCAACAATGTTTCCTTCTGCCCATAAGGAACTTTGGGCTACAATCATTCATTCCCATACATTCATATCATCATAGACATTCTGAGTCAGGTTTATGCAACCCTAATAAACTAGGATCAACTACACTCTCAATAGGCCAACTGAAGAGACGAGCAATAGCAAAGCCCAAAGAAATGTGATTTGTTCAATGTGGCCACATTGGGAAGAGGAACAAAGAAAGGGGTCCAAGACATCCCACCCACAAGTCCATCTTCAGGGTCCTGACATGAGGTTAAGGTTTAAATAGAAAGCTAAGTAGTCCTGGTCAATTTGTGGTCCTACCCATCACTGACCCATCATCATCTCAGCTCCACTCTCCTGCAAGGTTGTGTGAGAATGTTATCAGAACTGTGTGCATCCTGGAGCTCCTTGCACAACTAGCAGGCAGCTCCCCTGAAGAATTTCTTCTCTCCCAGTAATTAGTTGTTTATATAATGTAGGGACTTTGCAAATTTTGTAGCTTCCTGCACTTCCTGAGTCTTGTAAGTTTCATGCACTTCCTGAGCCATGATGGACATAAACACACATACACACATAAATGCATGTCATTTTTTAAATTTATTTGTCTTTTTAAGACTATTTCCTAATCATTTTTCCTTGATTTTATAAATGTATTTTAAGCATATTCTCGAACTGCTCATGGATGGTATATGATTATGCAATTGATTTTTGCATGTTGATCTTATATTGTGAAATAACTATGCTTTCTTATTAATTCTTTTTTTAAATTTATTTTTATTTATTTTTTATTTTATGTGTATGACTGTATTGCCTGCATGTATGTAAGTGCACCCATGTCGTGCAATGCCTGCGGAGGTCAGAAGAGGGGATTAGATCCCCTGGAACTGGAGTTATGGAAGCTGTCAACTACCATGTGGGTCCTGGGAACCAAACCCAGGTCCTCTGCAAGAGCGGCCAGTGCCCTTAATCGCTGAGCCATTTCTCCAGCCCCAACTTTCTTATTACATCTAATGATTTTTCTGCTCTGTGGGAATTCCTGTGTAGACTGTCATATCATTTACTAACAATGGCTCTGCTAGTCCTTCCTTTTCAATCATCTGTGGTTTATTTTGTCCCCTGTCATATCATGCTGGCTTGGAGTCCCATCCTGAGTCCGGAGATTTGAGCTAAGTTTTACCTTTCAGTCTCCTGAACTCCACAACTGGGATAAACTTATTTTCAGAATTTCAGATTATCCTGTTCAAATCTCCCTTTTGACTGCACAACGGAGTCATTTAGCAATGTTTCTGATATAGCATCTCAGCAATTCCTACAGAAAGAAATATAGGACTGGGGATGTGGCTCAGTGGTAGAGAACCTGCATAGCATCTACAAGGTCCTGGGTTCAATCCCCAGCAGTTAAAAAATAAAAAGAAGTAATGTAATTAGGAGCTATTACTATAATAGTCACTTTACAGAGGACAGTGAAGCAGCTTCAACAGGAATTCAGGGAGATTAGCTGTGCAAAGCCAGGGCACTGTGCCTGGCTTCTTAGGACTCTCAGGCTGGTCTAGGAGTTCAGCAAAGTGCATTAGTAGCAGAGGTTAAACAAGAGCCCCGTGTCCTATCTCTCAGCCTCAGGACTCTGCCCATCATGGTACCCTGCTTTAGTTTCTCAGGATCACAGTCAAGATAGGGCAGGTGAATTAAGGAGTTTGAACAAGGGTATGGTCCACAATACAGCAGAGGGATCTGGCAACACAATTCATGAGGCTTAGAGCATCCTAGACATGGCCCATAGGTGTTTGAGTATCACACTGCTCAGTGCATCTGGTACCTAACAGTTGGGACAGTGATCATGTTAAGAGGAAGCACACAGATATACATGTTTTGAGAAACTAGATGTTTGGGATTTAAAAGGAAAGGGATGCGTCTCTCGGTGTTGAATGTATAGATGTCATTTTCAACATTTAACAATGACTTTCATTTTTCTGGTCTGTGTAGTTTATTATATCTGGCTCCCTCTCGGTCTCAGCTGAAAAGAACCACAATACTTGCATGGTGAGTAACGATATCATCGATGGCCCATAAATGTTAAAATTGTACTCGTTCCCACACACGGGCAAGGAGGTCTCAGAGTAACAATGTGTTTTGGCCCTGGGCTCAGTACACCTTATTCCAGTCAATCCAGGAGGAAAAATGAGGCAGAGAGAGGTAAAGCCATGTCTAAGATCATACAGTGAGTATGTGGCAGAGCTGAGATTTGAACCTAGAACTCTCTGGTTCCAAAGCTATGCTTTAACCTATTGTACTTGCTACTAAAAAGATTTGGAGTTAATAAAACTGCTGGACATGGTGGCACATACCTTTAATCTTAACACTTGGGAGGCTAGTTTTGTCTACATAGCAAGTTTCAGGCCAGCCAGGGCCATATAATGAGACAACAAGCATCATCTCAAACAAACAAGCAAACAAAACCTTAGCCATTTGGAAAACTCATGACTTTGTTATATGATGATCTGGGGGTATTCTGCATTAGGCAGAAAGCTCAGGCCATACAAATAGAGAAGGGCATACATTTCAGCCATTTCTTCAAGGTATTTCCTACCTTCCTCTTTGACTGGACCTAGAAAAGTTTTCCTTGAACATTTTGGTGTCCCAACCACAAGACACAGGTCCCTGGATTCCCTTGAACCTTTGAAGTGGCATTCTCTACCTCAGCATACAGAAAAGGGTCTTTTGACTTATGCCACAGCCTTTAGGAAGCCTCAGCATGAAAGTTCCAGGCCCTCCCTCCCCTCACTCTCTCTCCCTGGCTTCTCATCTCTCTTCTCCCACTTTAAGGAAAGTAGCAGGTGGGAAGTTGAGTTGTTCATTGAAACAACCCCAACCCCCAGTCTGCGAGACAAACTTCTGCTTCCCAGGTATGCTTTCCACTCCCTCAGCTCCCCAACATCAACTAGGCTCATAGTGCCCCTGGATATCCCAACAAGACCAGCCAAACCCTACCCCACACCCTCTGGGAAGCCCAATGTCTGCACCAAGGAAGGTGTGTGGCATTCCTGAGCCTCCCCTGATCCCTTCTCATTCTGATGTCCGATTCCAATTGAAATCTCCACCTCAGTCTCTAGATGTGACAGCTCCACCGGCCTCACCCCAAATGTGTCATGTTGCCCCTTCCTTATTCTCTCCCTACCTCCATTTCCAGAATCCCACTAAAGGGAAGCTGCGGGCAGTAAACAATTAGAGGTTGTTGGTATCTCAGTACAGTGAAGCAGACCCCTTCCATTTGCATATTAGACTTTGTTCTGAAAATATTAGACTTTTCCTGCCCCAGTTGCCCAGTTCCTGCCCTAAAATGACCTGATATAGTGAGTACAGAGCAATCCCATCATCCCACTACCCTTGGGGTAAACTAACTGGATTCTTCTCCACCCACCCCCACCACCTCTTTTCTGCCCTGCTCCTCTTCTGTCCTATGCAACCTGTGTTTCCAAATGGAGGGCTTTGGCCTCTACTCACCGCTCCTCTCCCCCCATGTGCTTCAGGTGAATGGCAGCATTGGCATGAACATCGTCAGTTCCATCATCTCCCTGCTTGGGATTGCCATTATCATTCTAAGTCTGTGTGTTTATAAAGTAAATTCCTCTGACCCAAAGGTGAGCATTCCAACTCCCCAGCCTCTATGCTTCGGAAAGACCAGGAGAGCTTGCCAGGTTGTTTCCAGGGCAGGAAGGGATTGCAACAGAATTCCATCCTAGTATGATTCATACGTTATGTGCCCATCACCCAAACTCTGTAACTTCCAAAACTGCCAGGGTCCTTCTCATTTCACAGTGAAGACACTGAAATAAAGAGGTAGTCACCCCCTTCTCATAACTATTGTACTTCCGGCCTAGAGCTAGCAAGTATTCAAGTAAGCGGCCAACACACTCAAACACAAAGTCACCTGCCCATAGAATCCGCTGAGCCTGTCACACTGAAGATGCTGATGCCAGGGTCTTGTCCTATTTGAGGGCAGATCTCAGGAGAGAGAGGAAAGAGGACGCTGATCAAGGGGAGGATGTTTTCAAGCACAGGGCTACTAGAGCTTCATTTTGTTGGGACCCAGCAGCCTGAGAAGTGTGCATCTCAGTTAGACCCTGTGCTGGGTGGGACAAGGGAACTGGGGAATTCATCTTGTCAATTCCACTCAGCTATGGGTTGGAAACTGCTGCTGCGGAGCATGCACTCCTCAGCAATTCCTGTGTGCCATGCATGTGGGCATAGGTGACTTCCATGGTCAAGGAAGTCCTTGAGGCTAAGTGGTGAGGCTGGAAGTCAAGCAGCAGGCATAGAAGTAGACAGGCCAACGGGCTCTGGGAAGAGCACAAACATCATTCAAACAGCACTCGGTAGGCCTGAAGAACGAGATAGGCATCCTCAGGTTCGAGTTTGATCCCTCACCAAATGAAGGATCAAAGCTGCAACCTGATCCTCCTTCAGGCCCAGCCAAGCAGACCAAGGCTAGGTCCAAGGTCTTAAGTCACATCTATCTACAGGGGTGAGGACAGTCCCTAAAGGGAGAGTTAGTTCCCTGAAATCTTCAGAAGCTGGTATGCTGACAAAATTTGGCACTGACAAGATGTGGCAGAAAATCAGACAAGGTGTTGGCCTCTTAGGTCCAGCATGAGGCAACAGGATGAACCAACAAAGAGGTGGAGCATAGTTATAGGCTATTAAGATGCACAATATCTACTAGTCTGAAAAGCGGTTGTTTGCCAATAGGTAGGTACTTCTGTCATCAAAGAGTGTGCCAGTGTCATGTAGGACAGAGATGTAGGAGCCCAAGAGGCCTAAGGCCAAACACTGGGGCCCCACCCTCTGATGAGGAGGAAACGTGTGGAGCAGAGGGAGGAGGGATTCCACAAACCCGTCCCATGCATACACTATGGATGGGGCCACAGCCCAGAGCACACTGAACTCAATCCTGCCCTTGAAGCTCCAATCCTGACAGAATCACAGGGATCCAGCTAAGACAGCAGGAGCCAGGCACGGCTGATGGTTCTGACCTCACTGGTACATCCCTGACTCACAGTGAGGCTTCTAGCCCTTCACACAGATTCACACAGTCAGGGTACATTGCAGTTATATTTCAAGACAAGTAGTTTTGGGGAGGAGAGGAAGTAAACATGAACTCAAAGGCGAGGAATCTAGGGTACTCCCACACCAACCCTGACAGTCATTGATGGAAGGCTGCTATCCAGAGGATCAGCTGAGCTTCAAGTTTATGATACAAACAGCAGAGTGGGCTCCAGAGGGCCGAAAATGCGATGGCTGACAGGTGGAAGTCCAGCCAGGCCGAAGTGTAATAAATGGATGAGGTAAAGGTGCATAAGGACTACCCACAGTATTGGCTCAATAAACCACCCGCAGAGAGCATCTCCTGTCTTACAGATGAGGCTTGCAAGCACTTGCATGAGACTATCCCCCATACAGTCAACTCTGAGAACTGAAATGCTCCCCTTCCTCTCTGCCTCTAGGCTAGTATGAATGCAGTCTCTGGTGGCCTCCTTCCCTTCGCCCTCCTGGAGTTCATCATCACATGTACAGTCTCACATTTTGGGTGCCAGGCTGTCTGCTGGAATCGTTTTGAGGTGAGTGTTGGGCCCTATTCCAAGATTCAGAGCATGTTGAGGTGGGAGAGGGGTAGTAGCAAAAGATGAACAAAGTTTGATAAAAGTGAGGAATGAGAGGATGTATCAGTTAAGCTTTGCTGTACAACCACCCCAAATTGAGCAACTTAAAACAACCATTTACCTACTTCTGGTTCCAAGTCCCATCAGTTTGAATTGGAATCCATGATTTGCACCTCTGTTGGTCCCAAATGGATTCCTCTTGAATCTTTAGCCAGCTGCCAGTTAGGCTTGGAAAGGCTAGTGTCCAGGGCACTTAGTGGAATTGTTCCATTCTGTTCCTGTGTTATCTTCTGTTCCACTACTCCAGCTTGAGCTTCCTATAGGGTAGGTGGGTCCCCCAACATGAGACAGGCAGCCCCCATGGGCAAGCACTCTAGTCCCTGACTGTATCCTGCTTGCTGGTGTCCCATCACCGAAGTCATTGGCATGGCCAAATTTGGATCCAATGAGCACAGGATCAGCTCTGGCTCTGAGGAGAAAGGGTACAGTCACCTAGCAAAGAGGTACAATAGGGGCCTGGAGTAATGGCTCAGCGCTTAAGAACACTAGCTGCTCTTGTAGAGGACCACAGTTCAGTTCCCCGCACCCACATGGCGGCTAACAACTGTGCAGCACCCACGGAGGTCAAAAGAAGGCACTGCACAACACAGGTACTTATACACATGAAAGCAATACACTCATACACATAAAATTTTTTTAATAATAAAAGATCTTTAAAAGAGGTGCAATAGGAGGATTTGTGGTCAGTTTTTCCATCAAATTATTAATACGTCTACAACAAGTAAACCATGTTCTACCCATCCCAAGACTCCCAAGCATCCCACCCAATTATGTCATCCCACTTGATGCTCAAGATCCAGTTTTGGAAAATGCATCTCCATTTTTAAAGTGTGTCTGTGTGAGGGTATGTACATGTGTGTTAAGGTGCTATGGGAAGCCAGAGGTATCTGATCCCCTGGAGCTAGAGTTACAAGCAGTTGAAAGCTGCCTCACGCATGGGTGCTGGGAATTGAACTCAGGTCCTCTGTAAGATCAGTAAGTGCTCTCAACCACTGAACCATCGCTCTAGTTCTGAGTATGCATCTTCTTGGCCCAGAAACTTATGAACTAAAAACAACCTCAGGTCTGAGAATATATATGGTTCAGTTGGTAGAGAGTGCTTGCTTTGTGTGAGGAAACCCTGGGTTCGATCTCCAACACGATATAAACCAGGAGTGGTCACACAAACCTGTGTTCCTAGCACTTGGGAGGTAAAGGCGGGAGGAGCAGAAGTTCCAGATCATCCTTGGCAACATAGAGAGTTTGAGGTCAGCCTGGGAAACATGAGACCCTATCTCAAAAAATAAAAACAAAAACAAGCTCTATCCCAATACACCCAACATAGTTTAGCAAGACAAGAATTGGGTAACTCAAATGCACTCTCCATCCAATAGGGGGATACCAAGCAGCACAGGACAGCCATTGCTCCATAGTAATTCTAAAATCCTCCAGAAAAATATAACCCACCCAAGGGCAAAAAATATTCCTCAATCAGGGGTCAGTTCAGCTTTCTGGAAGGTTCTGCCACTGTTCCCTACTGCTTCCTGGGAGTGGGTGCTAACCCATTGTTTTGGAAGGTCTTGACTCTACCCCCAGTCTCTTGGCTCCACCCTCATCAACATTATCCCTTTCCCATAAGAAACAGCCCATGTTTTCCACCTTGGGAAAGAGAAGTTCCCTCAGCCTTTCTATGTTAAGAAATTGGGGCCCAAATATCCTTTTTTACTTTGAGCAATTTCAGTTCATATCTGGTGGTCCTTCCATTAATACAGTTCCCTCAAAAACTCAGGGGGTGGTTTATGTACATAATTATGGCTTTTGTCACCTGACAAAGACCATGCCTGCAGTTGTGCTCTAGACAGACCTTTCTCTAAATCTACCAACATCTATTTTGAGATCAGGTTTCTGTGGGACCAAGCTCTTAAGAATCTTAGAAGTCTTTCTGTGTAGCCAAAGGACCTAATAGGCACAGCCTTAAGGCTTTCAAAAATCTTTCTAGGGCCTGGGGAGGTGTTTCAGTTGGTAAAGTGCTGGTTGTGCAAGCTTGAGGGCCTGAGTCCAAATCCCCAGCACCCACATCAAAAGGCAGGTTCTGCAGCATGTGTCTATAATCCCAACACTGGGGAAGGGAGGCAGGGACCAAGACAGGGGGATCCCTGGAGCTCACTGGCCAGCCAGTCTAGCCAATCAGTGAGCTCCAGGTTCAGTGAGAGACCCTGCCTCAAAATTAAAGTGGAGAACAGCTGTGGAAGACACCCAACATCAGTCTCCATGCACATGTGCACAAATACTCATATGGACTGGCATGCACCTGTGCACACATGCACACATGCATAAACACCCTCAATATACAGAGAGAGAGAGAGAGAGAGAGAGAGAGAGTCTTAGCATCAGCACAATCCTATATGGATAACTCTAACCTTGATTTGACATTTGTTGTCAAGCCTAAATTTTACTTTGAATGTCATTAATCCATTGGGAACCTCAGAAATAAGAGCTTTAGATCTGGGCCTTGCAGATCTCCTCTAAATAATATATATCAACCAAAGTATTCCTTGTCTGCTCTCTTTCTCATTGGCAGGTAGGAGTACCCAAGCAACATTTCCATCATCCTGCCTGATGATGAACTCCTTTGTAGTCAAACCCAGAAGTTAATAGAGTTAATAGATTTGCTGTCTTCCAAAGGGCATTAGTTAGTACACAACACACTCAACCACTTGTCCAGTCTGTGGTGGTTTTTCTCTCTTTTCCAGCCTCCTCCAGCACAAATATCACCATTTTCCAGCCTTTTCTAGAATTATATTCACAACTTTTACCCCAACCTGCCACCCAGTCCCTAGACCAGTGTGTATGCTGGATTCTCATTCTAATCTCTGTGTCAATTAGCTTTGGCTGCCTATCAAACTACTCTACAACATAATGGCTTACACAGCAGGCATTTAACTCGTGATCTCTGGAACTGATGGACAGTTCTGATCTACTATGTTTGCCAAATCTGCAGTTGGCTGGCTAGTGAGAAGCCCTATGATCTTGAATAGACTCACACATGTATCTGTCAGTTGGCAAACTGACTATGAACAGGAACAACTGGGCTACTTGTCTCATTATTCAGCAGACCAGACCAGGCTTCTTTCTGTTCCAAAGAGAGAACAAGTAAGCCTCAGTAGGGAAACACCACAGGTCTCTGCTTTATCCCCCTTACTACCATCCCCTTCACTAAAGAAGGTCATGTGAGGGACTAGAAAAATGGCTCAGTAGTTAATAGCACTGGCTGCTCTTGCAAAGGACCTAGGTTTGATTCCCAGCACCCACATGGCAGCTAAAACTGTCCATAACTCCAGTTCCAGGGGATCCGATGCCCTCTTCTCCACAGGCATTGCACACAGGTGCACTTACATACATGCAGGCAATACACTCATACACATAAAATAAAATTTAAAAAATAATTTTAAAAAAAGAAGGTCATGTGAGAAGGGTCTATCCAAAACATGGAAATAGGAAAGGGACAAAGTCACAGCCATTCTTGCAACTTAGTATAGAAGAAAGTGATGGCCTATGTCCTTTGCCTTTCAGAATATTGTGGTGTTCTCAAACATGTTTGGTGGCAACACAGTCAACACAACTGGACCTGTCAACAACAACACTGGCCCAGCCAGTGTCACCACCAGCCCAGCCGGTGTCGCTACCAACCCAGCCAGTGTCACCACCAGCCCAGCCAGTATTACCACCAGCCCAGCCAATCCCACCTTCCCCAGTGATGCTTCTCCTAAACACATATACCAAGATGCAGCTGCTCTTTCCCAGAGATAGATGACAGGTTGCCCATTTCAATGACCAGGAGACATCACCACAACAGTATCTCTGCTTCTCCCTGAAACTCCTGTGACCCTGACCCTGGCATTATTGATAGACCAAGATGAACATCCATTTTTCTCTCCTCTTCACTGCTGTTCCCCTTTGGCTTATTACTGATGTATTTTTTAATACATGTTCTCCCTTGACACTAGCATCTTTCAACCTTAATGAACTGCATGCGAGGTTGCATTTTTGTTCTGTTGCTTCAGGTGTGTGCTGATTGTTGAGAGCCACATTCTAAACTAGTACACAAGCCAACTGGAGGTCCAGCCTACAGTCATCCTCCCCCAACTCCAATCCTGAAAGCTCATCCTCCATGGAGCATGAGGAGTAGAGTGGAATGTGTGAACTGTCCACCATCCCCCATCAGCACTCCTGCCTGTGTGAGTGAAACAGCAAATGGGTGCATTGGCTGCCTGCTGGAGCTGTAGAAAGCAAGTCCACCCAAGCTCCAGAGAAAGAGCTGTTCAGATTGGGCAATGGTAGACATACTGGCTTAAAACCAACTATTACTTAATGAAGGACCACTTGCCTCATTTGCTCAAGGGGCTCTATGGACTAACAGGACCTTTCAGCCCATAGATTCAGCTGCTGGGTAGTCCCCCATCTTCCTCTGTCCTTTCTCTTCTGTCCATCTTCTTCCAGAGGCCTGACAATGGGCTACAAGGTCAGGTGATAGAAGCCATGTTCCTGGTGCCATGCAACAGGGTGACTAAGGCTCCTTATAGACCTCCAAGACTATTCCAAGCTACGAGGGACCAAAGAATCCTTCTCTTGCTAATGTGACCCTTGCTCCTAGCATTGCTTCATTAAGTGCCCATATTCAAGCATCTCTTTCATTTGTTTTTTGTATGTGTGTATTCATGTTCATGTGTATACATGTGCATATTGGGGTATGTGTTTGTGTGTGTGTGTGTGTGTGTGTGTGTGTGTGTGTGTGTGTGTGTGTGTGTGTGCATGTGTGTGTGTATAGGCCAGAGGACAACCTGGGGTATTGTTTATCACACAGTGTCTGCTTTTTTCCTTAGATAAGGCCTTCTCACTGGCCTAGAACTTAGCAATTAGGCTAGGCTCTCTGACCAGTGAGCCCTAGAAATCTGCCTGTCACAGAGCTGGGATTATAAGTATGTCTCATCATAGCTGAGTTTTTCTTTTTCTTTCTTTTTTTAATATTTTATTTATTATCTTTATTTTATGTATATTTTATTTTATGTATTGCCCACATGTATGTAAGTGCACCTGTGTCATGTGATGTCCATGGAGGTCAGAAGTAGGTGTCAGATCCCCTGGAACTAGAGTTACAGATAGTTGTTAGCCGCCATGTACATGCTGGGAATCAAACCCAGATCCTCTGCAAAAGCAGTCAGTGCTCTTAACCACTGAGCCATCTTTTCTTTAATTTTTATTGAATTTTTTGTGTATTTCATACAGAACATCTTAATCATCTTTATATTCCCTTTCCCATTGACTCCTTCCATAGCCCACCACTGGAATTCAGACATTCTGTCATTTGTGTTAAGGCTTTTCATGTCAAGTTAGTGTCCCCAAATGTCCCCTAGTGCAAGTTCATCCACTGAGGTCTAGTCAGCCTACCTGGACTCCCTCCCTTTAAGATCAGCTCTTCTTCACCCAGCAGTAATCAGATGCCAATAATTCTTCAACTAAGATTGGGGCCTGCTGCCCATTTCCACAGTTCTGTCCTGGCGTTTTGTCTGCTTGAGTTTGCATGGATCTTGTGCATGCTGACACCATTGCTGTAGGTTCAAGTGAGGAGGGTCCCAGGAGCCTGTAGGACTCTATTTTCATATAGAAGAGGTCATGCACCTCCTCCCTGGCTCTTACAACCTTCCTACCCCCCTCTTCTGCAATGGTCCCTGAGCCCTAGGTGGGTGGCTTTTAATATAGGAGTCCTGTCCAAGGACCCACACTCTGTAGACTCTTATTCTCTACATTTTGACCATTTGTGACCTTTTGTGTTCCTGGCCCTCTGTTGCATGAGGGAACTTCATTGATGAGAATTGAAAGATGCATTAGTGTTCTCTTAATCCCTTGTTCTGTTTCATGAACCTTAGGTGTAGAGGTTGCATCCTAGATGTGCCACTTAGGCTCTGGGCAATTCACAGACAATTTCTGTGCATGACCAGTTGTAGAACTTTGTAATAATCTCTGCTGAAAAAGAAGCTTCTTTGGTGGGTGGTGACTGGGATACTTGTCTGTAAATATAAGGATCCATATTTTGCACATAGTAAGAAATTAACATTTGTCTAGGAATGTGACAGCCTTGGGGTTTTCTCTAAGATCTCTGACCTCTCCAGTTATGTGTATTTGGCTAGGATTACAGTACCACATGAGTTTCCTCCCACTGAATGGACTTTAAGTTCAATTAGATAGCGGTTGATTACCCCCAAGATAAAAGTGCCACTACTAAGGCTGGAGAGATGGCTCAGTGGTTAAGAACACTGGTTTTTCTTGCAAAAGACCCAAGTTCGAATCCCAGCACCCACATGGCAGCTAACAACTGTCTGTAACTCCAGTCCTAGGGGATCCAACAGCCTCTTCTGACCTCTGCGGGCATTGTACGACACTGGTGCACTTACCTACATGCAGGCAATACACGCATACACATAAAATAAAAAATAAATAAATAAGTAAAAAAAAATTTAAAGTGCCACTACTGCACCAATGTCATTTGCTAGTCATTGATGTGGTTTTTAGGTCTTGAAACTGGAGTTGGACCATCGATTGATGTTCTCCCTTACTAGCTTGTGTAGTGCTCTCCAAAGCTGTGAGAACTATCCTTCAGGGGAGGTGGCTTCCAGGTTTTTTCTTTCTTTTTTTTTAACATGGACACTAAAGATTAAACTCAGGTCTTTGTGCTTACAAAGCAAGCACTTTACCAAACTGAGCCATATCTCTAGCCCTTTAAGCATCTCTTTTCCACCTGCAGAGGGAAGGTTGGGAAGGGCAACAACCTATATCTCAGCACCACTAGCCTGAAACTCCCCACAGTCATAACCTCTGGTGACACATTGTATTACCAGTCACCATAGAGTCCTGTGACCACTGTAAGTGCTAAGAACAGGGTTCTCAAGGCCATTCAAGTGTGTTCTAATGCAAGAGCCAGAGCACTGGGTGATAAAGGACAGTGGGAAGCCAACATGTGTACAGTGCCTCTATTTCATGTTCGCAGATGCTGAATTTCCTGCAATAATATATAGTGATGTTTTCAGTCCACCTTATACATGAGGAAACTGAGACTCAGAGGGAAGTTGTTCTAGTTTTATTTGGTCTTTGTCAAACATGATGATGAAAGGCACCTAGAGGAGGTGTGGGCTTATTTCTGCTTACAACTTCCAGGTCACAGTCCATCACTGGAGGAAGTCAGGGCAGGAACCTGGAGGCAGGAACCATGGAGGAGCTCTGCTTGCTGGCTTGCTCTGACTCACTCTCAGGCTCATGCTTAGCTAGCTGTCTTACACAACCTAGGGCCATCTGCCCAGGAAATGGTGCCACCTACAGTAGGCTGGACCTTCCTACATTAAGATAATCAAGACAATTCCTCACAGACATGTCCATAGGATCAACCTAATGAAGAAAATTTCTCAGCTGAGAGTCTTTTTCAGGTGACTCTAGGCTGTGTCAAGCTGAGAGATAATGAAAATTAAGACAGAAGCTCTCCTCTGACACACTGAGTAGATATAAAATAGGATTCCCTATGCTTGGCCCACAGTCCAGTTCCTTCTACCATCCCACACCAGCTCATCCTGTTCCCCTTTCTCCCTAAAGTCTCCATGTCTACCTCAGGAAGGACAAGATAATTCATACTGACTAGGGAGTCACCCTAGGTCAGGGCTGGTTCCTGGGAGAATATGGGCTAGGAATCCTTTGGAAGAAAACCCATTACCATTCCACCAATAAGGAAAACCAAGAAGGTCCACCAATAGGGAAAACAACAGCATCCAAATCAGGACTGGCTCCCTTCTTCTCTGTCACCTCTACTCAGAACCTGAGCCTCAGGCAGCCCCTGCTTGCATCCCCAGTTCAGAGCATGCAGGAGAGGGAAGGAAGATGGAGTCATGTAACACCTGGGATGTGCTGGCCAGGATGCTAAGCACTATCATCCATTCCAATATGCAGCCCCTGTACATATACTATGTGTCAGGCACTAGCCATGAGGGTACCATCAGAAGTGGAAATCAAAATATTTAATAGCTAATCCACAGACAGTGACCTGTACAGAGGGCAAAGGCTACAGTGCTGAAGCAGGGTTCTAGGGGTATCCTGCTGGGCCAGGCACTCATTCTGTTGGCTGTTGGGTCATCAGGGGGCAGGAGGCAAAGGAACAGTACAAGCACAGGGAAGGTTCAAAGCATCATCCCAGTGTACAATACAAAACAGAACCAGCAACCAGTATACCCCCACCCCCGACACCATGGAATTCACCATATAGCCAAGGAATTTATATGTGTTGTCTTGCTGAATACCCAAAACATCTTTTAGAGATAAGGAAACTGAGACTTGGAGAATACCTTGTGTTATACCCAGCTCGAGGAACAGAGAAATGCCAGACAGCAATGGCAGAATTAAAAGTCCTTTAATTAGCCACTGTTCGAGAGAAGGCTAGTGCTAGAAAGAACTCTTAACTTCAAGGAGAGACAGAGCAGGGTTGGTAAAGCTTAAAACTACAATTACATCATGCCAGAGGCAAAGCCAATAACCATGATTACACCATACCAAGAGCAGGTCTAAGTTTCAGTTAGGAAAAACAAGTTTCTCAGAATTGCAGAAAGCATGGGCTCTAGATGTAGCTGGGAGAGAACATTCTGCCTGATGGATGTAAGCTTCCCCGTATTGTAGAAACAATGTACCCACTGAACTGCAGGTACAACCTTAATGAGACCATTTTTCCTGGTGGGTGTAGTTAGTGGGAACAGGGGGAGCAGCTTGGCAGAAATACAGGATGAAGCAAAAGTCAGCAAGAATAAAATGGGTCAATGTGGGCATTTCACGTTGCCCAGAGTCCACCATGACAATTTGTAGCAGATAAAGTTGAAGCCTTGAGTTCTGAGGCCACAAGTTCAAGGGCTGAATGGTTTGTAAACAGAGATGGTGCAGAAAGCCAAAAGGAGGCTAAGATTTTGGCTTAGTGGTAAAGCACCTGCCTAGTATTTACAAGGCCCTGGATTTGAGCTGTGGTACCACAGACAACAAAACAACTCACAGACAGTCAAACAGAAAGGGATGGATGAGCCCTCTACTCTGTCTCATCCTGAAATTCTTTTCTGCAGCCTAGTGAAGGATCTAGCTTTAACTAAGTAGAAGTCCCTAAAGGGGAAGGGAACTCTTCAGGCTGTTGGAAGCAGGCAGTTGAGCTGTACCTGCCTGTCACCACTGATAAAACAGGCATGTTTTGGAGAAAGGGGTACACACTGTGTGACTTCTTGTGTGTGATGTTCTCAGTGATAAAACCACAGCCAAAAAAAAAAAAAAGGAACAAATATAAACATCTAGAATAGTAACAAGAACAACAACAATAATATCAACACTTGCCATGTTGATGTTCAGATACTTTACCTCAGAATCATTCCAGGAAAAAAAATACTTTGCTCATCTGTAAGCATTGCCAGGGCACAACTATTCTACTGAAAAGTGGTAGAAAACAGGACAGAATCTGCCATGCCCAAAGAAAACGCAAGGACAGGAGTTGAGGAATGACTTTTAGGATACAGACATAATCTGGACTAATGACTTTTACCTACTCTTACAACCAAAAAGTTACTGTTTATAATTTAAATACAAACAAGCTCACTGAGCCATGTGCTCCTCTTGTGACCTGGGCACCTGACCTTATCCCTCAGGACCCCACTTTGTCCTCCAGCCAAGACAATGAATGAGCATGGATGTGCATCATTAACAAATCAAAGCCCTGGACACAGTGTGTTTTTTCATTGAAAACAGAAGAATTGAGAAGTCTGTCTGGAATTGTGTGTTTGAGGTATTGTAGGCCTAGGGATCAAAGGGCATGATTCTCTAATGAGATGGGGTAGATCCTAGCTTTGAATTCCCCCTATTCATGTTGGAGGTACTGTTTGAATAAAATAATGAGTGAAGCCTGGCTCCAGAGCACAGTTCCCTGGTACATCTGAAGGAACAGGTGGTTCTCAGAGTTCAGGTCCACTCTTGTTCTTAAAAATAATGTTAAGAGTCAGGCTGCTTCATTATTCAGGCATAAGTGTAATGTGGTTTCTTAATACCACAAGTCTGGGTGCTAGGCTTACGGCCTGACAGTTCCATGTTTCCTGTTGTTCCTGTTCCAGTTTTGTTTTGTGTCTTGTTTTGTTTTGTGGGAGTGGCTTTGGAGGCAGGGGATTAGGGAGAAGCTTGCTGGACAAGCTGTCATGCTACCCAGGCTGGCCTCAAACTCCCTATGTACTGAGTATGCCCTTGAACTCTTGATCCTCCTGCTTCCACTTCCCATGTGTCACCATGCCAACGTGCCAGACTCTGTTCCTGTTCTTAAATTTCAGCATGCTGTGAGGGAGAAGGAAACACCCCCTCACCCCCCTACCCACCCTCACTCCCACACCCTCACACCCCCACCCCCACCCCCCACCTCCCCCTCCTCTCCACTCCAAAAATCTGCTTGACAGTACACAGATTAACAAGAGGAAAGATACTTAAACTTACTAGGTGCTGGCAACAGAATGTCACGAATTCCTGGGAAGAAGGGCCAGATAGGCCTGTCTTGTACAACATCTGGTGCTGCAGAGAGAAATAGGCTGCTGGAGCTTTGAGGGAAGGGATAGTAACTAGTTGAGGAGGGCAAGGGGAGGACTGCAGGGGGCACAAAGGTCTCAGTGTACAGGTACACAGATAAAAAGTTTCTCTCACCTGGGGCTGGAGAGATGGCTCAGCGGTTAAGAGCACTGACTGCTCTTGCAGAAGACCAGGATTTGAATCCCAGCACCCACATGGCAGCTAACAATTGTCTATAACTCCAGTTCCAGGGGATCTGACAGCCTCTTCTGTCTTCCGTGGGCATTGCATGACATGGGTGCACTTATCTACACAGAGGCAATAACACGCATACACAGAAAATAAAAATAATAAACAAATATTTTTTGTCTTTTTGAAGCAGGGTCTCTCTGTAGCCCCAGCTGTCCTGGAACTCACTATGTAGACCAGGCTGGCCTTGAACTCACAGAGATCCACCTGCCTCTGCCTCCCAAGTGCTGGGACTACAGGCGTGCGCTACCACGCCCAGCTAAAATATTTTTTTAAAAAAAAGTTTCTCTCACCTAATAAAAGCTGCCTTCAAGAGAAACTGTCAAAGGAGAACAGATAAGGGCTGCAGACAGCCTGCAATGTTGACCTTCAGTCTCCTGTGACATCATTCTTTTCTGGTGGATAAGATGGAAGGGATACGGCTCAGGAGAATCTATCTTTAGATAATGGAACTTCAGGAGTGCCCTAAGGAGAAAGAAGGTGAGATGCAGGAGGACTGATGGTCAGAGACCTTGGTTCTTAGTTCAGAAGACTCTTTACTTTCTCTAAAGCTTCCTTCTCCCAGCCATGTGGCCAGTCAGTCACCTGTACAACCCCCAGGCAGGCTGTAAACCTGCATGGCTTCATGGCTTTCTTTCCTTCTCCCCTCCATTCCCCTCCTCAAGGCAGCTGCCAAGATTACCAGCTTGCCTGCCCCCCTGAGGATTTGTCTTCAAAATTCTAATAAAGTTGTGAAGACTTTATCTTGTCTCCTCCCAGTTAGGGTGGCACTTTATCTTGTCTCCTCCCAGTTAGGGTGGCACTCTCTACATTGGCTCAGAGATAGTAAATAGATTCAGCTGATTCGAAACTTTTTTGAGTCTGAGTGGTCCTTCCCGGTGGTCCCAAACTCTGTCACAGTACCATGTAACAGAAAAACGTGTCAGCTCTCTCTGGGCATTTCACAGGAAACATTCACTTTGCTCCTAGCCTACTGGTTGTCTAGGCAGGTCTGGTCTGACCCAGGCCTGGCAGAACACTCCCATGCTCCACACAGCTGGCCCCGCCTACCTGGTTACACACCTATGGGGCCTTACCAAGGATAATTGGGTTATTTCACATGCCTCACCTTCCAGCAGGGTAGCCAGGCATGTCCAGAGCTGGCACAGAGTTCCCAGAGCATAGAGCAAGCCAGGCCTCCTGTGTCTCAGGTTGGAACTGATCACAAGGCCGCCTAGTTTTGAGGGTTTGGGAGAACAATTCCAACCCTCACTGCAAAGTGGACACAAAGAGACCTGGAGGACTAGGGTCATTTTCACAGTCAACCTGCCACACTGATCTATCACCAGGTTAGCTGAGAGCTGGCCCAGGCCTGTCCCTGGGCTGTCTTGAGCCTGTGGGTTCCACCCAGTCTCCCTGGTTTTCTCAGTTACCTCAGAGGTCATTTTGATAAGAGCCTGAACCCAGAAACTCAAAGACTAATTTTCCATGTATCTATGCTACTTGAAATCTACTGCATACACAAACACACGTTTACACTAACACACATTCACAAAAATGTACATGCTCACTCCCTCACATGCCCTCTGCCACTGGCCGTCAGATATCTGTGGGTCATCTGACCCCTTTATCTAATGGTGGACAAGCCTGGATGGATGGAACCCAGGCAGCCACTGAGTCCTCTTGGGACATCACCTCAGTGGGGTAAAGGGGAGGGTGAAGGCCACATGGGTCCCCATCCCAGCTCTGACATTAGCAGTGGGTCCCCAGCAAGTCACTTTCCTCTCTAGGACTCAGTGCCCCCTTCTGGAGATTGAAGCAAGAGAATGAGATACTCTTGGTCCCTGTGGCAGTCAGTGACACACAGGTAGCTTCCTCTGGCCCCCACCGCTGGGGACAGGCAAAGGCATCCAAGCCGGAGCACAGCTCCCAAGCAGTGATTTCCAAGCCCCACAGGAATAGCAAGGTTTTCACAGGAAAATGTGTGAATGCAGGAGCTCAGAGGCAGCAGGGAGCCAGCAGCCTACAGAGCCACCACAATCCGGTGAGTACCCCACTACCCTTTTGGGAGAGCTTTCAGCCACCAGTGCCTGGGACACAACAGGAGAAGGGGCAGGGGTGCATGGGGTCGGGATGGGAGAAGAAAGAGACTATAATGAATGAAGAAGGTTCAGTCCCCCAAAGGTCCTCCCCAACCTGGCACTAAAATGGGGCAGGAGGCTCCCAGGACCATCCACTGGCAGAGATGAGGGGCCCATGCATGGTGGATGGGGACAAAGGAGGGGTATCTGTCTTCTCTCCTCAAAGCCAGGGGCAGAGACTACTCAGGTACCCTCCCCAAGCACCCTCAAGGAACCAACCATCCTCCCAAGGAAGTAGAGATGCCCTTCTACCCCAACCCAGCCCAGGGCAGAAGTCCAGCCCAGGGAGGTGATTCCATGCACAGGTGAACTGCCTGTCCCTTCTCTGAGGGGAGGAGAAGAACCTGGCAAGGGTCACTGCTATCAACAGTCAGTCCTCTTGAAAATACAGTCTCATTTCCAGATGGAGAAGCTGGAGTCAGGGAACGGAAGGGGCTGTCCCTTCTGCTTCTGTCGATGGGAAGAGTAGAGTACCAAGGTCCAACCTGGGGGTCAGGGAAAATGACTGGGAGGCTTGCCTCCCCATGATGTCTTGGCATCTAGGGGCATCACTTCTATTCCCTGGGGCAGGCCTGGGCTATCTTAGAAAAGCTGAGGCTGGGGGAGCCCAAGGCAGCCTGGTGCCACCAGGTCATACTTACACAGAGGGGAATTCTTGCCTGGTCCAAGAAATGGCCAGTCAAGGAGCCTGGCTGCAGACCCAGGAAGTATATGAGGCATCCTTAGAACCCGCAGCATCTCACACTCACCAGCACCACAACCACCCATATGACAGATGGGAAAAGGGAGGCCCAGAGAGAGAGAGAGAGAGAGAGACATTAGACAGCTTGCCCAAAATCCCTCAGGCTACTTCCATTCACCAGATAGTATCTCAGATTCTTAGCAACCCTGTGCACCGTCTGTGGCTTAACCGCTAAGCAAAGCTGCCAACTCCCAAATGTGCACCCCCCCAATGGTTCCCATGCATTTCATCCAAGACCCCCCTCCTTAGAGTCACTCCCTTCTAACTACCAACCTTATCAGGAAGCAACTCCAGCAGGAAAGTAAGTAAAGCTCCTTCAGGTTCCTGGTGGAAAAAAGGTTGCTGAACAATCTTCCTCAGACAAGTTCCTGATGCCCTGAGTGGCCCAGCTAGGATTTTGGGATAGCCCATCACTGCAGGATACTAACAACAAAGGACCACAAGCCTCTGGCACATCAGGTTTGCAGTCAGGCTTTACTACCGAGGTGTGAGTCTCTCATTGGAATGTCAGAGGTTTTGTTACTGTCTTTTGATTTACATCAAGTCTAAGGCAGGGAGCAGTGGCTACACATCCACAGGGTATGTTCTATGCGTGCTAGCTCTCTTGAATGTATATATTGGTTCTTTTTTATAGAGTGTAAACCAAGTTGTATAACCTATAATGCAAACAGACATCTATCTCGTTCTAATTAAAACTATTTGCATTGTTTAAAACTCGGCCGGGTGTGGTGGCGCACGCCTTTAAACCCAGCACTCATGAGGCAGAGGCAGGTGGATCTCTGTGAGTTCAAGGCCAGCCTGGTCTACATAGTGAGTTCCAGGCCAGCTGAGGCTACAGGGAGACCCTGTCTCAAAAAGACAAAAGAAAAAAAAAAAAAAAACCTCACAGCAATTATGGCAGGGGGACACTGGAGCAGTTCTGTGGCTTTTCTGGTGGCTCTCAGCCAAAATAGCAACTTAGTAATTATCAATTAGTATGTCTGGTCTTGTGTTGTATCTTGATCTGGGGCTGATCCTCAACCCAGGTGAGGCAGGAGAGAAGGGCATTTGACAGCTTCCATCCTTTCCCATGCCTTTCCCTACACACACACACACACACACACACACACACACACACACACACCAGCAGCAGCAGCTGGTTAATGATGACATCTGCCCTCTTCAAGGCTGGGCAGTGGGGAGGGAGGAGAAAGAGGATAGAGGACATGCATCGGCTGGATGCTTTTCGAGTTAGTGTCACCCTCTCCCAGGTTGGTGCTTCTCTAAAGGGGTATTTCATGTGTTCTTCAGAAGAGACATTCATTGCAAGGATCTCTTCTGTGTACCCCTCTGTAAAGAGTCCCCACTCATCTCAGGAATCTGCAAGGCGAATGAGAAGAGCGTGCACATGAATTCCTCCCAGCTGGCCTCTCTGTCTTGGCCATCCCTGCACTGAGTCAAATCCACATTCAACCCCCACTTCCAACCCCAAGGGAAGATGTAAAAGTCACCCTGCAGCTTCTTTGTCACCTGCCTTTTGCAAGCGCCCCCCCCCACCCCCCACACCCTTGGCACCACTCCAGCACCCGGTTGCAGCTGAAACTTTGGCTTTAACATCTCTGACCAGCACAACCATGGACCAGCCCACTTGGCCCCACTATTTTGACCCTCAGTTTAGTGACCTGTAAAATGGCCTCCATCACACCTCCCTCCCAGGGCTGCCCTGGGGGCTGTAGGAAAGCTCTTTATAAACTTTAAAGGGCTGGGCATGGAGTACTGTTACTAGGACTGCTCAATCAGCAGTTGGTAACACATCTGACTTGGATGTCTCTGAGTTTCTGTATCTGGTAGAGGCAGCCGTTCCCTTGAGGCAGCAGACCGTAACTTTCCCTCTCTTTCTTCCTGGGCATGCACTAGTGTTGGGGGCATGCTGACTGGTTAGTAAGAAAGTGGGGGGTGGGGAGTAATAGAGACCAGGAATGGACCAGGGGGCACCTGGGATACTGCAGATGAGTCAGTCCCTGGCCTTGGACTGCAGAAAACTTGGGAGGTGAGAGGAATGTGTGAGTCTCGGGACCTGTGTGGCACCTCCCCCCTTGGGTTTGCCACTTACCCAGTCAAGGGCACAGAGCCTATTTCTGTAGGTGTTTCTCTTCTCCTGAGGATCGCAAGGGCTGGGTTTAATCAGATTTCTCACCACCTGCCTTGGGAGAGATGCTGTTAATGACGCAAGTGCTTGCTCCTGGGCTGCTTGGCCCTGCGGGATCCCAGAATCCTACATACCCCAAAGAATATCCCCGACATGCCCAGGACCCATTGTGGGTCTCAGACACATCTTTACCTGTTCCTGGTGAAATGACAACTATGGGGAAATTTGTATCCTTTTATCTTAAAATGATACCTTTCCAGGCTCTGCAATGTTAAAATGTCCTTGGTAATTAATTTTTAAATGGCCTCACTTGGGAAACCACAACTGTGGCAGGCTGGGTCAACACATTTTGATGTTTAATTTGATCACTTGTGAGTTCCAAGCCTTTTAGAACTATTGCTCCAAGAAGGGAAGTGCAAGCGTGAGTCTCTCCCTCTTGGCAAAGCCAGGATTCAGATTCAGCAGTGGAGGAATTTTGTACTCAACATTGGAAAGTGGGAATCAGATCCATCACAGTTCTGCCACTGAGGTGCTTTGTGACCATGAAGGAGGCATGCACCCTCTCTGGTCTGTTAGACTAAATCACACATATTTCCTGCTCCTTCCTAGACTCTGAGTTCCTCAAAGACATGGTCTCTATGTCTTTACTGCTCTATATATTTTTATTCATTTCTGGAGAATACAAGTCAGAAGCTAGATTATGTTCCGATAATATATATCTTAGCATCTGTGTGTGTGCATATGTATATGTGTGTTTGCGTATGTACAAGTTACCTGGGTGGGGGGTACATGTGGGAGTGTGCACCCCTACATGTGGAGACCAGAGGATAACCACAGGTATCATTCCTCAGGCACAGTCCACCTTGTTTTTTGAGACAGGGTCTCTCGTTGGAGCTAGCCAATGTGGCAAGGCTGGATGGCCAGTGAGTCCCTAGGATCTATAGGTCTCTGCCTCCCTAGCACTGGGGTTATAAACATGCTACCACACCCAGTGTTGTTATATGGATTCTGGGCATAGAACTTGGGTCTTCATGTTTACAGGGCAAGCACTTAACTGACTGACTCATCTTCCCATCCCCATCTTAATGTCTTAAAACAACAAAGATTGGTCTCTTCTTTCAGCTCTGCTGATGGGGGGTTAGGGGTGAGACGCAGGAACCCAGACAGTGGCCTCTGTGCTGGATAGCTTTAGTGTCAACCTGACACACCAGGGATGAGGGAGCCTCAATTGGGGAATTTCCTCTATTGGACTGCCCTGTGGCCATGTCTGAGGAGCATCTTCTTGATGAGTGATGTGGGAGGGCCCATGGGCAGGTGGGCCTGTGTTGCATAAGAAAGCAGGCTGAGCAGGGGCCAGACCAAATTTAGTTAACCAATCATCAGTTGAGGGACACTTCTTGATTGTTGAGTGATTTGGGCGAGCCTAGCCCACTGTAGGTGGTGTCACAACTAGGCAGGTAGCCACGGGTGGTCTAAGAAAGCAAGCTGAGTACGGACCTGAGGAACAAGCTAGTAAGCAGCATTCCTCATTGGTCTCCACTTCAGTTTCTGTCTCCAGGCCCCTGCCCTGGCATTCCTCAGTGATCTCGATGTGTAAGGCAAATAAACCCTTTCCTCCCCAAGTTGGTATTGGTCAGAGTATTTTGTCACAGCAATGAAGAACAAACTAGAACAGCCTCTGTCCAGAACATTGCTTGTCACTGTGACAAAGGGGGAAGACTCTCCATGGTGTCACTAAACACTCCACTCAGACTAACAAAAACAAGTCATGCAACCAAACTTTAAGGCACCCAGAATATACTAGCAGGAACAACTGAGCAAATGACAGTGATAGGCCCTAAAAGCAGCAGTGAGGGCCGATGCAGGATGTGGACAAAGACAGGCTTGGACTTGAATCCTTGCCCTGCCAAGCATTAGTGAGTCACCTTAGACATCCCTTCCCTGCTCTGAGCCTAGGTTGCCACAACTACATGGTAAACTGTGGAATGGCCAGAAGATCACCATAAGGTTGATGTACCAGATACATGTCAGAACAAGCATACCCTCCAGAAAGGTTTTATGACAAGCTCTCGTTAACCCCACAACCAGCACTGTAGGAGGGAAGGAGTGGGGCTGGTGAGATATGAATAGTACAGGAGGCTCCAAAGGTTAGTGATGGGATGGTCTCACTAGCAATGTTGCTTTGAAACAAACATATCATGGCCCTCTGCCAATTTCTAAGGACATTCTGATTCTCACTGACATTCAACTTTTGATCCTCACTGTAAACCTCTGATATAACAAGCTGCTGTGCTAGCTATAACAAATGCCTAGGGTGGTCTGCTTATAAAGAGAGCAGTTTTGGTTTTGACTCACAGTTTTAAAGGTTTCAGTTCAGGATTAATTGGCCCTGTATTTTGAGCCTCTCGGGTAGGGAGGCAGGACATGATGGTCAGAGCATATGGGAAAATAAAACTGCTCACTTGGAAGCAAAGAGGAAAAGGGAGAGGCCAGGATCCCTCAACCCACTTCAAGGGAACACTCCTACCCCAATTGCCTAAGGACCTTCCACCAAGCTCCATCACTTAAAGGCTTTCTGTTGCTCACATATTTGAACACTTGGTCCCAAGCTAATAGCACTATTTTAGAAAGTTGTAGAACCTCTAAATGATGGATTCTCTCTGAAGAAGTGGGTCACTGAGGACAGGGCTTGAGGTTTATAGCCTAGGCCTACAAATGGAATGTAACCATCCACCTCACACTCTTGCCAACAATGCCTTCTCCAACATGATGGAGACTGTGTCCCCTTAAACTGTGAACCAAAGTAAACCCTTCCCTTAAATTGCTTCTTTTCAAGTTATTTGGTCACAGCAACAAGAAAAGTAAGTAATACAAGGTCCCACCACCTGTTAATAGCATTGCCCTGGGGATCAGGTTTTGAGGGTCATTTAGATCCAGACTTCAGTGGCCACCATCTTCACCCTTTTTGTATAGAAATGTTTAGTAGCTTAGGCCAGGCATGATGGTGTACGCCTTTAATCCCAGGACTCAGGAGGCAGAGGCAGGTGGATCTCTGAGAGTTCCAGGCCAGCTGGGGCTACAGGGAGACCCTGTCTCAAAAAGACCAAAAAAAGAAGAAGGAGAAGGAGGAGGAGGAGGAGGAGGAGGAGGAGGAGGAGATGTTTGGTATCTTGGTATCTCAATTTGTTTCACATCTTGCTCCAAGCCACAGAAATTAATGTAAACAACATTTAGAGCAGCCTGTAAATTTCAGTGACCATTGACTATGGACCAGGCAGTGTTCTGAGGTCAGAGTTGGCAAACCTCAGGCCACCAATTGGACACAACCTACCATTTGTTCACATCAATAACACTTTATCAAAACACAGCCCCACCTATTTGTGCATATGTTTTCTGTGGAAGATTAACACTACAGCAAAAGGGTCTCCTACCTGTAGCAGAAGCTACTTGGACCTGCAGAACACAATGTGCTTACTACCTGGTTCTCTACAGGAAACATTTGCCAGTGCTGTTCTAAGCAATGCTATGTCTGCGAAGAATCATTTCAGTGGGAGTGCCTGGAAATGGGAGTCCCTCACTGAGTCCCACCATGTAGGGAATTCATAACACAATCCCTAGACACTTGTTCTTAGGATCATACATTGACCACCCTGCCCTGGCTGGAGGGAGCACATTAGAAAGTCCTTGAGGGTGTCCAGTGACTGCTTGCACGTGGGATTGTTATTAATATTTACCTGAAACATTTTCTTTTGTGCATATGTATACCTGCATGGGTGTGTGTGTCTATGTGCACATGTGTGCATGTTCACATGTGTGAACACATGTGTGAAGGCCAGAAGTCAACCTCAGGTGTTACTCCTCAGGGAACATCCACCCTATTTTTTGAGATAAAGTCTCTTATTTGTCTAGAGCTTATCAAGTAGGTTTCGCTGGCTGACCAGCAAGTCCAGAGCTCTGCCTATGTCTGCTTTCCCACCTCCAGATTACAAGTGTGTATCATCACATCCAACTTTTGAATGTGGGTTCCTGGAAATCAGACTCAGATCCTCATGCTTGTGCAGCAAGTACTTTACCCATTGAACTATCTCCCCAGCCCAGGAAACATTTTCTTAATCACAGTAAATGGTGAATGTTCACGCCAACGGATTTGCCCTGTGCCTCCTCCACCGTTCCCTTGGAGGCACACAGCCTCCAGAACCTCACTTCCCTGCTTGTGGGAACCCTGCCGTGTTCCTCAGCAGTAGATCTAATAGGATCTTTGCAATTTACATTCACCAATGTGGATCAGGCCTATCACAGAGTAAATGGCACCGAGACTGCACAGAGGACACACATGTGGCCATGATCACCCAGCATGGGAGGCTTAGTCCTCATCTGCTGAGGGCCCTTGCAAAGTCACAGGAAACTGACAGAGTCATGAGCCTGTTGTGCCAGAAACACAGAAAGATATACTTATGTTTTTCACAGTGCCAGAATTTATTGAATAACAATAAATTTACAAACATGTCAGTTTCAATGATTGCAATTTGCCAAGTAGTCTTGATCTTCCTTCAATAGCTAGCTGTTGGCAAACATGGGTTCTCTTATTCTAATTTTAATTACTAAGGTTAACTCTCAGATTACACATTATATGTCACAAGGTAATTATAACTGTATATATGTAGGTAGTCTAGTTCCATTTCTGTTGCTGTAATAAAATTCCCTGACCAAAAGAAACTTGAGGAAGAAAGGATTTATCTGGCTGACTTACAATTACCAGAAGAATGACTGTTTCAATGCCATATAATCCAGAACATTAGTCGTGGCAGTGCCCTGGTAAACTATTATGTGACCTGACTAACAGGCCTGTTTTCCCTGCAGAGTTTTCCTGGGCCATCCACACCTAGCATTTCTATAATTCATGCTTATTTGGGCTGCATTAGTGACTGGGAATCTTTTCCCAGGGAAATTATGGGCCCACATTCAACAGGTGTGGGCCTTGAGGCAAAGAGAGGGCAATACCTACCTGGTCTGCCTCTCCCAATGAAGAAAAACAACACTCCAGCTAAGCTCTGCCTTGCATAGGCTGTGTGTTCTTGAGTAATGTCACTCACCCTCTCTGGAGAAAGGAGGATATTTAAATGCATGCTCCTCTAAAAGGTTCCACTTGGCCTAGGCGTGTGGTTCAGTGGTAACAGCTTTGCCTTGCATACACATGCTGGGTTCCATTCCCAGCCCTGAAATACCAGAGGGAGCTGGAGAGACAGCTCAGCAGTTAAGAGCATTGATTGCTCTTCTGGAGGACCTAGGTTCAGTTCCCAGCACTCACAAGGCAGCTGATAAACACTGATAACTCCAGTTCCAAGGACTCCAACGCCCTCTTCTGGCCTTCATGGGCACTGCACACACAAGTGCACATACATACATGCAGGCAAAACACTCATACACATAAAATAAAAATAAATCAGGGCTGGAGAGATGGCTCAGCGGCTAAGAGCACTGACTGCTCTTGCAGAGGACCCAGGTTCAATTCCCAGCACCCACATGGCTGCTATGAACCATCCTTAGCTCTAGTTCCAAGGGAATCCGAAGCCCTCTTCTGACCTCCGCGGCATTGCACAACACAGGTGCACTGAACATACATGCAGGCAATACACTCATATACATAAAATAAAAATATAAATAAATAAATAGATAAATAAATAAATAAATAGTTAAGGTTCCTTTCAAGTTATATAGGAGAGATTAAAATCAAAGTCATGGGTTAAAGAGCCAGAGATCCAAATCTAAGTCACCTGATACCTCCACTTCTGTGAGTCTCCCCTTCTTTCCCTAGCTCTAGTCAGGAATTTGGGGGCCATCCGCTACCATCTCCAGTAAGCAAGAGCAGGTGGGTATGCTGTTTATAAACAAACAAGCCTTTAGCAAATGTATAACCACCATTATCACCCTTGTTATCTCTCTAGCCTTCATCCCTGGGCCTTTCTGAACACGATGTCCTCACCTGCCACCAGCAATGGGGTGTTCGTTGTCATCCCTCCCAGCAACACTAGCGGCCTCCGCCCACCTCCAGCCATTCTGCCCACCTCCATATGCCAGCCTCCGGGGATCATGCAGTTCGAGGAGTCACCACTGGGGGCGCAGGCACCCAGGGCCACTCAGCCACCTGATCTAAGACCCATGGAGACGTTCCTGACTGGAGAGCCCAAAGCTTTAGGGGTAAGAGCAGCTTCCCACAGGATCCAAGACAAGGGTGCTGGAAAGTGAGCGCTCAACCAGAGCAGGCAAGCACACCGGGGGAGGGGAGCAGGCAGGGGATAAATCCAAGAATGCACTTATGCACTAGACAGACAAGGACCCTCCCCAATGGAGATACTGGTAAACGAATGACTAAAAGAACTCCAAAGAGGGTTAAGAATGATGGATGCTGGGAAGGCGTCTTAGTTTGTTCTTCATTGCTGTGACAAAATACTCTGACCAATATCAACTTGGGGAGGAAAGGGTTTATTTAGCTTACATATCCCGGGTCACAGTTCATCGGGGAGCCCAAGGTAGGAACTCAGGGCAGGAACCTGGAGGCAGGAGCTGGAGCACAGGCCGTGGAGGAACTCTGCTTACTGGCTTGCTCCCACATCACTCATCAAGAAGATGCTCCTCAGACATGGCCACAGGCCAGTCCAATAGAGGAAATTCCCCAGTTGAGGCTCCCTCAACCCAGGTGTGTCAAGTTGACACTAAAGCTATCCAGCACAGAAGGTAATGCTAACAAAAAAGGATGGGACGTTCTCTCTGGGGAAATAATACTGAAGCTAAATCCTAGGTGAGGTTGAAGCCAGCCCAGGAAGATCTAGTGGAAGGATGGGTAAAGGGAAAAAAAAATCACTAAATAGAGAAATATCAAGTGTCAGGGTCCTGATGGGGAGAATGGGTGTGGCTTGTTGGCGAATGAGATACAATAATAACATGACTAGTGGCTGTATGTAATGAACTAAGGAAAGAAGGGGGAAGACACGACCACAGGGGGATGGAGACAAAATGGAGGGCAAGGGTGAAATCCTATAGGGATCACAGTCCAGGAAGGATGGCCTCTGAGTTCTTTTCCAACATCAGATGTCCTTGAGATAGTAGTCTCTAGGAAGAAATAAAATATAAGTGAGAGATGGATGGGTAGATAGACAGGTAAGACAAACAGATGATAGATAAAACATGATTAGAGGGATAGATACGTGATAAATAGGATAAATGATGATAGATGATAGATAGATAGATAGATAGATAGATAGATAGATAGATAGATAGATGAGAGATAGATGAGAGATAGATAGATGAGAGATGATAGATATAGATAGATGATAGATAGATAGATAGATAGATAGATAATAAACAGATGGGTAAAATAGATGATATACTGATGGATAGATATGACAGACAGATAAGATAGAAGGATGGATACTTAAATATTATAGATAGGTGATAGACTAGGTAACTAGAATAGGATAGACATGATTGGTAGATAGATAGATAGATAGATAGATAGATAGATAGATAGATAGAATAGATTATAGATAGATGATAGATATAAAAATATAGATAAATGACTGATGCTAGAGGATGAATAAAGATAGATGATAGACAGATGATAGATGATAAATGATAGATAGATAGATGATGATGATAGATAGACAGACAGATAGATAGATGATAGATAGATAGATAGATAGATGATAGATAGATAGATAGAAGATAGATGATAGATATGTATGTTGCTTTAAAAAGCTTCAAATTCAATGCAGCAGCTTTTGGTGTAAAAATAACAGGTTTTGTGGTGACATAGTCACACGTACATATCATTCTTCTTTGCTCTTAATCATAGCAGTTTACTTGGGCCAGGAACTCATGAATGGGGGCAGTCCTCAGAGCTACAGTTTCAAGCCCCACCCCAGCAGTGTGAGCAGCGAACTTCCAGAGGTCAAAGCATGAAGCAAAGTGGGGAACTCACCTGACTAGCTCCAGGTGGGGGGTCTGCTGCACGTGGCTGATGAGGAGGCATTTGCCTGATATGAGCCTGGGCTGATCCATCAGCTGCTTGAGATTGGCTGAGCTCAGCTGTCTGTATTTGGCAGAAGCCCAACTATTTATTTAAAATATATACTCTTAAGTTGGGTTTCTGTTTGCTAAAATATTGTTAGGCTGCAATTTGTTGCATAGGAACAATTACAGTTCGTATCTGTTAAGAGTCTCTGAGAGGCACCTACACACTGTACCCTTATGTTAGAGTCTCAAGTCTCAGCACCACCTGGTGAGCCAGGGACTCCAGTTTCCATGGGACAGATTAGGAGCCTGAAGATTATCTACACTAAGTCACTTGCCCAAGGCCAGACTGCCAGCAGGTGGCATCCCGTAAGGCAGGACACCCTGACCCATAAAGTCCTACTTTTAGTCCCACCACTCTGACCTGCAAACCTGCTGAGATGCAGAGCTCTATCCCAAAAGCTGGGCAGGGTTACTGCTACATGAGGCAACTCGGGAGAGCAAGCAAAAAGGGGTATTCTGCCAGGCATGGTGGCACAGGCAGGCCTTTAATCCCAGCACTTGGAAGCCAGAGGCAAGCGGATCTCTGTGAGTTCAAGGCCAGCCTGGTCTCCCCAGAGTTCCAGACCAGCTAAGGTTACATAGTGAGACCCTGTCTCAAAATTAAAAAAAAAAAAAAAAGAAAAAAAAGAGGTATCAAGGGCGCAATGGTGAGATATGTAAAAGAGCTTGCCACACTTTTGATCCCTGGAACCCACCTCAAGGTGAGAACTGATTCCATAAAGTTGTCCCTGACCTACAGAGAAAGAGAGAGAGAGAGAGAGAGAGAGAGAGAGAGAGAGAGAGAGAGAGAGACTGAATTTGATGAGACAAAACCACATCTATGGGAAACCTAAGTATATGTCTTGGTGTGCCACCCAGGGGAAGATCACCAGCTTTGGGGTTAGCTGGCCTGCTGCTTCACAGCAGCAGAATTACTGAGTGTCCTAGCACTCAGTTTCCTGATTTGTAAAATTAAGATGGTACTTACATTCCCATGTTAGGGTTAAAGGAAGTCGGGCAAACACCCATCACAGTGCTTAGCGCTGACAGGCATTCACAGAGTGCCTGCTGGGACCTGCACTGCCTGGGGAAGCTGAGGAGATGGAGGGCAGGCAGCAGAGGAGAGACAAAAGACCAGAGTTTGTACCCATAAAAATCCCAATTCTTGACACTCACATTAGAAAGCGCTGTACTGTCCCCATGACCCCAAGAATGTGATTCTCACAGCCAGAGCTGACTATGGATGGATCTGCTGCTGGTGGGAGGTTGGGGGGGTGCTCTGCCCACAGCAGGAGCCTCTATGGAAGTCCAGGAACTGGAAGGGGGCGTGGGCTGGACAGAGGCTGGACTCTCCATATCTTTTCCCACTCATTTCTGAAATGCATTAGTCACCAAAAACATTTAGAAGGCAATGTGGCAGAATTTATCAGAAGGCTGCCTTTTCCCTGGAGTTTCCACCCTTGGGAAAACCATCCCACTTACGGGACTGTTCTGTGGGGTGCTGGTAAATTGAAAGAAAGAGAAGGGAAGATAGGAAAAGGGGTAAGGAGGAAGGGAGGGAGGGAGGGAGGAAGGAAGGAAGGAAGGAAGGAAGGTTTGTGCAATACAACAGCAAGCAAGGTTTTGTCTTGAAAGAAGGAAAGAAAGAGAGAAGGAAGGGAGGGAGGAAAGGAGGGAGGGAGGAAAGGAGGGACAGAGGGAGGCAAAAATGGAAGTCAAAGTGTAAATTTGTGCCCCCAGTCACTGGGTAGATCAGGGAAAGACAGCGAGAGGACTCCCAGGGAGTGCTGGGAGTCCAGAAAACAAGCCTAAGGCTAAGAAAATCCCACTGCAACTCAGAGCGACGCTTGAGAACCACGGCCCAGATCACACAGCCACTGCAGCCCACAGAGTCCTGGAGCTCCTGGTAGGCTGAGGGGAGCTGGTTCTTTCTTAAAACTATCTGCTACAGTTGATATAATGCTGTGGCTTCAACCTAAAGGGAATCTGAGTTTCCTCCCCGACTCTGGGGAGCAGCCAGCCGCGCTCTTCTGCGGGGTCGGCAGGAGGCACTGTGGAGTCTGAGCCCCGCCGCTTCCCGCAGACCGTGCAGATCCTCATTGGCCTCATCCACCTGGGCTTCGGGAGCGTGCTGCTCATGGTCCGCCGCGGCCACCAGGGGATGCTCTTCATCGAAGGTGGCGTCCCCTTCTGGGGAGGAGCCTGCGTGAGTGCGGGGGGTTGGGGGGTGTTGGGGAAATGGTCCTGCCTCGTCCCAACATTCTCCTAGCCTCGGCTCTCCCTACGTCTGGGTCTAACTCACCTCTGAGAATAACCCAAGCGTTACTATAACCCCTTACCCCAAACGTTCATCATAAACATCAGTCTGACTCCCAGCAAACAGGCAGAAAAGGCCACTGAAGACCATGGTGAGGGTCATGCAGGCCAGCGTCCAAATAACACCCATGATACCTGTGTCCTAACCCTGCAATCCAACCCCACCTGCAGAAATCCCTCCATGCCCTCTGTGCGTCCCAGCCCTTCCTGGCTCTAAGGGCCCTGCACCACGCTAAGACCTCCTTATCTGCTCCTTGGCATCAAAGTAAAGGAGTCGTCAAGATGATAACGCTGTCTGAGCCTCCTCCAAAGATGCAAAGGTGTCTTCACCTCTGGTGATGGCCGGCTACCTCCTTGAAGCACAGGCCTTGGGGTCAGCCTAATAGGGTCTGAATGGCAGCTGCAGTGTGTGACAGTGGAGTCCCTTAGCCATGTCACTGGAACTCCAGCCTCTACTTCCTCACCTAAGAACTTGATTCATAGACTTAGCTCCACCTGCCCCACAGTTTACTGAGAAAATAAGGAGAGGGTGCATGTGCCAACCAATAATCAGCCTTCCAGTTCTGGGCCAATAGTGTTGTCTGCACACATCACCTTTGGGGAAGAAAGCGAGGCAGAAGTGTGCAGAAGGTGCCTCATGATGCAGGTGATGGTTCTAGAACTCGGGCAGTGGCTGTCTTCCCCAGTCCAGGCAATCCCTGAGCTGCCTCCTGCCAGGCTCAGTCACAAAATATGCCCCATAAAGATTCAAACATGGGGCTGGAAATGACTCAGCAGTTAAGAATGTGTACTCTTCTTCCAAGAGACCTAGTTCAATTCAGCACCCATGTCAGGCAGCTCACAAAAGCCCCTAACCCCTGCTCTCTTTTGGCCTCCACATTCACATGGGCAAAACTAGACACAGACACAGACAGCGTGCGTCACAGACAGACAGACAGACAGACACACACACACACACACACACACACACACAAACACACATACAATTAAAATAATAAAAATTATTTCAAGATTTCAAACATGGTGGAAGGGAGAAAAACAAGATAAGAACCTGCTTGTCGATCTTGAGACATTAGAGTCAAGAGACCTGGGTGGGCCATGTGTAGCCCAGTTCAATCATCTTAGAACTTCACAAGGTTGGGGAGATAATTCAGCGAGTAAAGAGCTTGCTGTACAAGAATGAAGGCCTGAGTTGGAGTTCCATCACCCATGTCAAACGCTAACCTGGGCTTGCAATCTTAGTTCTGGGGAAGCAGAGACAGATGGATACAGGTAGATCCTTGGAGCTCACTGACCAACTACCTTAGCATAAGCACTGATCTCCAAGTCCCAGTGAGAAACCCTGGCTCAGGAAACAAGATAGTGCCTAAGGAGAAACAACACCAAAGGTTGGGTTCTGACCTACAGAGAGAGACAGAGAGAGACAGAGAAAGACTTTGCATCACTGTTGGACATGGTGACACATGCCTGTAATCCTAACACTGGGGAGACGAAGGCAGGAGGATCAGGAGTTCAAGGCCAACCTGGGCTACATAGTGAGTTTAAGGTCAGTCAGGGATACATAAGACTTTGTCCTCCACATCACTATCCTCTAGGTTGGGTGCTAAACGTATGTACGTTTTCTGTGTATCTCTCTAGAAAGAGGACTCAGAGCTTTCCTCAAAGGCCCAAAGGAGTACCTGGGTGAAAATTCCCAAAAGTCCAAGATAGGAGGCTAGATACAGAAGCAAGTCAGCTGGAATGTGGGTCTCATTTTTGACAGCCTAGGCCAGTCACTGCCTCGGGGTGCCAGCTTCCTTACTTTCTCCAGCCCTGACAGCAAGACTCTAAATCCAGCCACCATTTTGACATCACTCAACACATCGCAGCTAAACTCAGACCCGACCTGCTTCTTTTTCCCATCATCTTGGCCATCCAGTCACCACAGCCAAAAGCATGCCAATAGACAGCCTGGGCTCTTCTCTGGTTACCACATTAACCCACCAGGAGATCCTCTCTGCTCACCTTCCAAAGCAAGATCCAGACAGGTCCACATCTCCTGTTTCCATCCCTCAGCCTGTCCACCTCTCCAGCGCCACTCTACCACCTTGGCCCACATCACATGGTCAGAAGTGTCTCCCTGTAACCCCAGGGATTCCCCTACCTCACGACCCCTGCCCCCGCCTCTGGCATCTCCATGTGGCCTTTCAAATGATGTCTCCAGTAAAGAAGCCGAATATAAGCTCATTAGTTGTTGGGCTAGCCCAGATTCATTATGTGAGGCCACGGACAAGTGCATAGGCACCATGATGCAGGTCCACTGGGAGTCATCTTTGGAGAAACCTCTGTATCCCACATCCCCTGCATCTCCCACTGGCCTTCCAGCTCAGAGAAATCTTCCCTATCCTGCCCCCCAACCTCAGGTAGCCCCCAGTGACTCCCCACACATCATTACAGTTCCTGTCACAACTTCTCTTTTCTTCATTACTTATTTTCTAGGTGTCACTACTGCCCAATTTGAGCATCGGTCCCATGAGAGCAAGGATCTTGTCCACTTTATCCAGCTCTGTTATGTTCTTGGTATATAACTGATACTCAGTAAACATCTGATAAGTGATTATTTGAAGGACAGTACACGCCCTAAGATACAATGTCAATGAAAACACATATTTCATAAGCTATGGCTTAAGGTCCCAGGACAGAGGCCTCTTAGAGAACCCCTTAGACACCCTTAGAGACATACCCAAGATGCAGATGAGGAAGCTGCTGTCCTCTGCCTGGTATACCTGTGCCCTCCTGGTGGAAACTGGGCATGATGTACCCTGCTCAGCATCCCAGGCCTCACTGGGGTCTCTCTTCCCCACACAGTTCATCATCTCTGGGTCCCTCTCAGTGACAGCTGAGAAGAATCGCACCAGCTGCCTGGTAAGTCTGAATGGAGATGCAGGACCAGGGGCAGGAATGGGACCCACTCAGCTGTTGCTCCTCCTATCAGCTCACTCCTTGACCCATTCAACAAGCATTTGGGGGAACCTCATAAGTGCCCAGGAAGGGGCAGCCACATATAAATGTATGGAGAGAGGAGCCAGGACACTTCCAAAACACAACCCAAGATGGATGGCAAGGGTCTCGGGATGACGTACTCACAGACTTTCGGAGGAGCAGAGATGCACGAAGGATGCCTAGGAGAACACACACAGGTCTTAGCAAGTGCACAATGCTTGGGAAGGCCTGGGCCTGGGGGAGGGTGAGTACTCCAGTGATAGGTAGGCAGGAGCCTCCTGCAGACCTGGCCCTGGGGAAGCCAGGGAGTCCAAACTCCTCCCTAGAAGCTCCCAATAGGATGGACAGAAGATGGAAAGGGAGACAGTGCCACCTCTTCCTGAAGTCCCAGGGAAGGAAAAGAGGAAAAAAGAGTGGGCCAGAAAACAGACACACACAGGACACAGGGCCCCCGCCCCCACCCCTTGGCCATGGGAGGGAGGGTGCAGGAGGCTGGGCATGGTGAGATGGCACCTCTTGTCCTTCCCCTTCTCTTTGCCTCTTCTCTGTGCTTCTCCGCCCCGTCCCTTTCCTCCCACAGGTGAGGAGCAGTCTGGGGACCAACATTCTCAGTGCCATGGCAGCCTTCGCTGGAACGGCCATCCTTCTCATGGACTTCGGTGTCACTAACTGGGTGTGTTAGCAAATGTCCCCGGGGTGATAAAATTGGAAGGATGGGGCTGCACCCAGGATAGGTCCCCAGCACTAGGTATTAGCGGAGCCTGTTGGCCCAACAGACCCCATAAGTATAACTGAGCTAATGACCCATCAGGAGAAGGTAGACATGGCTTATGTTGGCTATGGGTTTGGGTCCCCAGGATGTGGGCAGAGGTTACCTTGCGGTGCTGACCATCTTCACCATCCTGGAGTTCTTCATCGCCGTCATTGCTACCCACTTTGGATGCCAAGCCACCCGTGCCCAGGCTAACACAGTGAGTACTCCCACACCACGTCCACCCAAGCTGGGCCCCCAGGGAAGCTGTTGGCTGGGAGGGATCCACTAAGAAGTTGTAGATCAACAAAATGGGGCTATTCACCCCATGGCCACAGGGGGGCACCAGCACCAGTGGCTAGGCTGAGCTATTCGGCTGCCCTGAGATCTTTGTTGGGGAGCACACCTTGCACTTTATGAGTCTCCAGGGAGCCCATAGGCTGTGATGAGGCGGACACTTTAGAAAAGACAGCATGACTGGGTGGACGTTAAATTCATTTTCCAAAGACAATAGACAGAGAAGACAAAAAGAAGGAGAGTAGGCGTATGGGTAGGATAAAGGTTTCCCTGGGCAGATACAGGATGCCGCTGGGAAAGTCTTGGAGCTGGAGAGTGCGTTGGATTCAGGGAGAGGAATCCAGAGGATTTGCTCAGCGCAGGGCTGGTGATGACGAAGCAACAGAGCTGCCCGGGGGAAACACCAGCTCACTATCTCCTAGAGGAAAGAGATCACTTTTGTCTACTTTGCTCGCTACTCTGTGCTCAAGCCCTTGGATGATAGTTGACCCTAGAAATTTCTTTCTGACCACACAGTCCATTCCTAGGGCGCTGTTCTCAGGCTGCCCCACAAGGTGGCGCTACTGAAACGCTCCTGCAGAGCTTTCCCTGTTCCTTTCTTTGCAGTCGGTGATTTTCCTGCCCAATGCCTTCAGCACGGATTTCAACATTCCCAGTCCAGCAGCCTCTCCGCCCCCTGCCTATGACAATGTGGCATATATGCCCAAGGAGTCGTCGGAGTAATTGATCACAACTCCTCTCCTGCAGGTTGGAGTCCAAGGTTCCCACTCTGGACCCAGCCTTTCCACGCACACCTTGCTCATCCTGGGACGGCCCTTCCCCAGCTAGCCCCTCCAAGCCACATGCACTATGGCACTGAGTGAAGAGTTCCATCTGCTCCCCATTTCCCCCAGTTGTGTCTCTCCAAAAAGACACAAGGCTCCAGGGTACGTCCCTCAGCCCCTTGAGCCTTGTCACCTGCCATAGATGGTTCCTCTGTACTGCTCTCTGCTCACCCTGGGAAATCCTGGGTCTCACAGAGGTTTCCCAGGTTTGAGCCCTCAAGGTCATTAAACTCAGAGAACTCAGATGTTCCATAATGGACTGGAATTGGCCCTGGCATTTTGTAGAGGGGCATAGCTCTGGTCCACCACACAGCAAGGCAGTGGGCCTGAACTCAAGGCTCCTGGCCCCAAGACAAGCTCTGTTCTTTGCCATCTGCTGCTACATCTTTGGGCTTCTACTTCCTAGCTGGAAACTGAGGTTGTTCTAGCACCTGTGGCTCTGATGTCCTTGGGGTCTACCCCAGGCATTGTCCCCCATTCTCTCCAGAAACCCTCCTTTTCCTTATCTGTAATATGGAGTGGGTATTGACTACTGTCCCACCCACGTCCATAGGAGAGGAAGTTGCAGAGGAGGCTGAAGCCAGACCGCTATGCCACCCAGGTCACCATAGACAGGTGCACAGCAAAAGTGGCCTCCCCGATCCCCTGTACCTTTCAGCACTCCATACCTCACCCCTGCCTGAAGAGCAAGGGTACCCCTGAGAGTCACCATGGGAACCAAGCTGAGTCCCCAAAAGGATAAGAAGAACCTTCAGTCTGATGTTCTTAAGCCCTGGCATACAGCTTGTCTTATGCATGCCATGGAGGAAAATAAACAGTGTGACTTAGACTTTGAGCTGGTCTCACTGCAATGGCTTTAAATGTTTAGGCAGGGTCTCACTATGCAGCCATGACTGGCCTGTAATTCACTATGTAGACCAAGCTGGCCTCAATCTGAAAACCAGTTACAAGGCTGTGTTCATCTCCACACCTCCTACTTCAAGACCTAATTTAAATGTTACTGTCTTTCCAAGAAAGGTATTCAACCCTAAGGGCTTAGCTCAGTGGCAGAGTGCTTGCCTAGTGAGCATAAAGCCCTGGATTGAGAGTCCAGCACTGAAAAAAAATTAACTCAAAATCAGTCATAGATACAAATTTTAAAATTAAAACAAGCTTTGAAAAGAAAACAAGGGAAAAAATGTTACTTTGAGATAAGGATTACCTAAGCAATAATAGCCATAAAAGGAAAGGTAGATAGGAGGGAGTGGGAGGCCATTAAAATTAAGAGCTTCTGTTTACAAAAAAAAAAAAAAAAAGATAACAACCCACAGCAAGTGTTTAATGTAAACCACAGATTATGAGAAAAATGTGAAATCTGAAATATCTTACAGAGGTTTCATATGCAGAACACATAAATAACTCTTAAAAGTGTGAACAGAAAGGGAATATTCAAGTTGAACCAGGCAAAGAACATGGACAGAGGACATCAAAATGAACAGTAAGTGTGTTTGTCATCATTGATCATTATAGAAGTACAAATTAGAAGTCCAAGTACCTGGGGAGATGGTGCAGTGGGTCAGGTGCTTGTTGTGCAAGCTTGAAAACCTGAGTTCGATCCCCAGAACCACATGAAAGCCAGACACGGCAGTTACCCGTAGCTCCAGTGCAGAGGATCAGAGACAGGAGGATCCCTGGGGCTTGCTGGCCAGCCTGTCTAGCTGATCCTTTGAGTTTTGGGTTTAATAAGAGACCCTGTCTCAAAAACATAAAGTGGAGAATCTCAGTGCTGGGCTTATTTGGGCTCCCAGTTTAGGAAGGGCTACAGTTCATCACCACTTGGAAAGCTGACGGCTAGAGTGTGAGGCGTCATCACATGGCAGTGAGTTAGGAAGCAGAAGTGAATGCTGGAGCTCAACTCTCTTTGTCCTATTCAGGGGACCCCAGCCCACAGGATGGTGCAGCTTATACTCAGGGTGGGCCTTCCCTTCTTGGTGCAACCTTTTGGAAACACCCTCATAGAAACAACCTAGAGTGTCTGTTTCCATGGTGATCCTAAATCCAGTCAACAATGAAGAAACTCCACTGAGGCTCACCTTTCACATTGTTGATGGGACTAGAAACTGCTACGGACCTTGGAATAAAGGTTCGCCTGGATCTGCTACAGCTAACCACATGCACACACTGCAACCCAGCACTGCTCTTCCTGAATGAACCGCCAGTGGAGACGCATGAATACCTTGGAAAGACAGGCACCAGAGCTTCTGATGGCAGCAGGCCCATCAGCAAGGAGAAAAGGCAAATAAACTGTGGCGCACTCATTGAGGAGGAATAAGTAAAAAGCAACAGACTACTGATGTATCTTGCACACTGGTGACCAAGTGAAGAAAGCCAGGCATTAAAGGTGCTGTGCTTCATGATCACACTAATGGGAACTTGTGTTGCTGGAAGTCACATGGGTGCTGACAGAGCAGGGCATGAAGTAGTTTTTCAGGGCCAGGGCATGATTATCACATAAGTGAGTACATATATAAAAATTAACTAGCTGGACATGGTGGTGCATGCCTTGATACCAGCACTCTGAGGCAGAGGCAAGTGGATCTCTGTGCAATCAAGGCAAGCTTCGTCTACAAGTAAGTTCCAGGCCAGCTGGTGCTACAGAGAGACCCTGTCTCAGAAAGACAAAAAAAAAAAATTAAACTGGGAGTTGTGGAGGTGGCTCAGTCAGTAAGGACCTGAGTTCAGATCCTCAGCACCTAAGTGTAAAAGTATGGTGACACATGCCTAGAATCCCAGTGCTGGGGAGGGGAAGACAGGGGGATTCTGTGGCTTGCCTGGCCAGGAAGTCTAGCCAAATCAATGAGCTCCAGGTTCTGAGAGAGTCCTGATCTCAAAGAGTAAGATGGAGGGGCTGGAGAGATGGGTCAGTGGTTAAGAACAGATACTGCTCTCCCAGGGGACAGGAATCCAATTCCCAGTATGTTGCAGGTTCTCCTCAGGCCAGCTGTGAAGACCCTAACTTGGGTCGGGTCCCCTGCTGATTGGGTGGGGCAAGAGGTGCGGAGTCAACACACATACCCTGGGAGTCAGGTAGAAGCAAGCACTAGACAAGGTGCTGCAGGCTCATTTAATGCAGGAGGGGGCAGGCCTTGTATCCCCTTTTCTCCGCCCCCAAGTCCCTTTAGTCAGTGTATCATTTTCTGATTGGTCCACACCACGCAGTCTGTCAGCAGTCACTGGGCTCATGAGCAGGGTACGGAGGTGTGAGCTCCTTTTGGCAGGCTATTTGCAGACCAAGAAGTGAAGTGAATTCTCGCTGAATCCCAGGGTTCTGGGGCTGTGCCATCTTTGGAGGCCTCCTGCTACATTTCCACCCTTTTTCTTTAAAAATGGCTGTCCAGCAAGAGCCTGTAGGCAGCTCTGCCTCGGGACGACTCCAGGATCATGGACTGTGCCTGTCTTAGGCTGTCCTATTCGGGCATGAACCTTACCCGTCATTGGAGCATGGGTGTACACGTTCATGTCCTGGCTTAGGTTGATTTAGCCCAACAGGAGCTTACCCGTCATTGGCTACCAGCCCTCCAAAGGGTATCGTCCCAGGGGATCAGTCGAGGTGGGGAATTATCTGTAGAAGGCCTTGTACATTTGTGCAAGCCAAGTCTGTCGGGCTGCATAGGGCGGGTTGAAATCATCTTCATGTAGTGCTCTGAGGGCCTGATACACTGAGTGATTGAATTTTTTCTGACTGCGGGAAGGAAGAACAAGGCATTTAAGAAGTAGAAAGAGAAGAATAATTATGCCTGTCAGGAGTAGGTAAGTGATGATCCAAGACGGGTCAAACAGTACTTTTAGATTAGACCATATTTTCTCTAAAAACCCTGAATTGATGTCCAGCATGGAGGCATGGGTATAATTTAGAGCAATAATTTGATTAGTTAGTAATATAGAGTAATTAAGAAACTTTTGATTCCAGTGGCCATGAATATAGTGCGTGGGTTGTAGGTGCGCTTCAGTAATATTCTGTACTTTATAGGGGGTGAGACAAAGTGACCTAAAGCGAGGGTCACAAGCTAGCAGAGCCATGTCTTTGGTAATTGCCAGATCTTCACTTAAGAGATCAATTTGTTGTTGTAACACATTAATCGCCTGGTGAAGATACTGATTGATAAGGGACTGAGTGTGAAAGGTAGAGGAGGTTTTGGACACAGCCTCGTTGAGTGTCTCCACAGTAGTGGAGGATTGGGTGATAGCCACTGCAGCGGTGGCAGCTGACCCTAATGCAAGGATGATGGCTGAGATGAGAGTGGCAGTGGCACCGAAATCCCATTTTAAGTGGGGGGCTTTTGACAAGGCTGTCTGCTCTATAAGGGTGACAGCATGGAAGTGGGTTGCATTGGTGACTGGAACACAAAGGGCCTCAGGTTCACGCATAAACAGAACTTTGTGAGCTGGATGGTTCCAGCAGGCCACCAGTACACAGGTGGTGTTGGTATCGGAGCAGTTGAGTTGTCCCCGAGGGTTGGAGGTAACATTGGCTAGCAATAAGGCAAATGGGGGTAGGGGACCAGGATGTTGTGTGATCAATGGATGTAAGGACTTTGTTTCAGCACAAGTAGAGGGATTGGTGTTAGTGTAAGTGCCATTGGAAAGCTGAAGGCCCTGCTATGCCAGTAATGGCCTCATGTCCATGCAGGCATGCAGACCACAGAGGTCCCAGTTACCGAGTATTGATTCGCGGTTGGTATGGGAGATCTTAATGCCACAGGGATAGGTGGGGGCCAGTTGTCTCCAAGATCCTAGGGGGTGATTAGAGGGGGAGTGGTTGAAGCGGCAAAAGGGAGGGATGGCATGGTTGGGCTTAGGATGGCATCTCTGCCACAGTATAGGGAGCGTGAGGAAAAAGGGTGCAAGGGAGCATGTGCATGGGCAGTTGGGAAGCAGTGGGCATAGAATGGCAGGGCAAAATGGGGGCAGATGGGGTGGGAGTCCCCTCCACCTCCCCTGTTATTATTGTCCCCAGTGCAGTGAGGACTGAGGCTACATCAGTGTGGTTCAACATAAGGGAAAGGCCCTTGAGTTTAAGCATGTAACCCGAGGAGGCACTGCCAGCATAATCTTGGATGGTCAGGTTGAACAGCCCAATGCATGAGGATGCGTTGTTGGTAGTGAAGCATAGAGAGTTATTTAGGGGCCAGGAGCCATTGAGTGATTTCCAGGAAGTAACTGGGTCCATGGTGGGGAGGCCAAGCATAGAATTAGTTAACTAGAGGGTGGGGTGGGCTGGGCAATGAGGCGATAAGAGCAAGAGTATAACAGGGTCATTAGTGGGGAGTGGTTGAGGATTGGGAGAGTCCATAATATCTGTCTCATTTCCCCTCTTGTGGGCATGGCTGAGGGGCACCCTGGGTGGAGTTTAAAGGAGCCAAGTCCATTTGAGGCTGTGACCTACAGTCTTTAGCCCAATGGAACCCTTTTTTGCACTTGGGGCAGTGAGTCTTGGGGTGGGCTGGACCTCTTGGGCAGTGGCTACGAAAGTGGCCAAGCCCCCCACAATTCCAGCAGCCTTCCCATGCACCAAAGTGGGTGGGTTTTCCTTGAGACAAAAGAGTCTCAAGGGTCTAAGTCTAGGGTCTAAGTCTCTAGTAGCGAGTACCCATTTGTGAATGTTATCATTGCAGACAGGCGCGATAGCATTACAAGTAGGGATGTTTAGTCCCTCCCAAGTTAATTGTTTGATAAGAACCTCTCGGGTGGGTCCAGACTCCACCCTCCGCTCTACTGCCTCAGTGGCATGGGTAAGGAAGTCCATGAAGGACTCCCCTGACTGCTGAATCAAATTATGGAAAAAGACTTGTGGAT